AACGAGAAAGAGGGTATTTTCAGTGGTGGCCCTGCGACTCTGGAACTCCCACACCAAAGAGGTACGTTTTTCCCTCTCGCTATTGCCCTTCCACTCCCAGGTGAATTTTTTCTTAAAAAGCAGGCCTTCCCAGACAATACATAATAGCAGCAAGCTGGCCAAACAAAACTCACATGGTCAAAGACTTGGAGCTCTGAGTCAGTTAGTTTAATGTTTTAACCTATTAAGACAACCTCAGTGGCCTGAGGTGTAGGGATTTTAATGGCAATGATATGTGATTATTTTGTTGCTTATTTATATTTATGTAACTTGTGGTATATGGATGTGGGGATTTATTGTTTATATGTTGGGTGAGTAGGTTGATGATTTTTTTTGTATTATGCAGTTGTCTTTCTATTTTTACACACCGCTTGGAGAAAAGTGGAAGAAAAATACTATTATTATTATTATTATTATTATTATTATTACACCCCTTTGTACTCCTTGGGTGTAGACTTTATCCTAGCTCTTTCCTGGATGCACAAATACTTTCAGCTCTTCCATACAGTATTGTATGCCAAAAATATTTCTGGTGTTCCACAAATTCTCTCCATTATATTAAGAACATGCTTGTTGAAGTGCTACATTTTTTGGTAAATGTGTTAAAAATGAAACCTTATTTGACAATTTTTTTGGCTCAGATTATAGCTGTTGGCCTGAAATAATCTATAATTGCTTTCAAAAGTCAAAATGGTTGTCCAAAACCTAAGATGGTCTATTAATTAGAAAAGCAGAATATTATGTGCAGACAGATGTGCAATTACTCATATTTTAGAAACAACGGAAGTATCAACTCTAAACTTATAGACAAAGCCACAACCCATATCAATTTCCGTTTTTGGATATAACCAGTTTTAACATTACACACAAGGGAGGGAGACAGGTGTGTGAATAAGTTGAATTTCTGTCACAATATGTGCTGTGGAACTTGGATCTCTGGGGTCACAAATTACATTTTGGGGGAGATGTGCTATAAATGCAGCAATTAAAAGCTTGTCTAATTCACAGCAATGCCTTCTTCTATGTAGTATTTAAATCTGATTTTTTAAAAGACTAATACAAAATAAATTCCCCAATACATTGTGTATATTCTCCTTCTGAAACCAAGAAAACACTGTACTAAGGAAAGAGTTTTAAGGACTTGTATGGGGAATTAAATAATACTGAAACAAATAGGACTTTCAGATATCGGTCATAATAATAATAATAATAATAATAAACTTTATTTGTACCCTGTCACCATCTCCCCGAAGGGATTTGGGTGGCTCACAAAAGCACTCAAGGTGCGACACACAGACATACAGTAAGTGTCTAAACAATATAATAAAAACAATAACCATAACAATTGTAATATCAATACTCTTTCTTCTATATATTTTAGTACATTTGTAATTTTTAACATTTCAACTAAACTTGAATTGGCTTCCTAAGAAACACTTTGTTTTAATTTTGCTGTCACAAATCTTGATTAGCAATAATTTTTAAAAGCATGGTTTCACTGCATACCACCCTCACGTATTTTAAAAAAATGGCAAGGTATAATTTTAATTAAAATAATAAAAATAATAAATAAAAAACATTTAAACTTTTTTTTAAAAAAAAGCAAAATAATTGTTTTGAATTATTTTTATCAGCACACTGATGATTTAGAACTGTATGGAAGAGTTAAAAGTATTTGTGCTTCCAGGAAAGACCCAGAGTAATTTAACCAGTACAGTAGTTAAAATACCTCAATAAAAATTACAAGTGGTTCATTATTATATCACTGATATTAATAGATTTTCAAGAAATATATGTTTCACAGTCCCTTCTCTAAGTGAATGGAAATAATCATAATGTGAATATAAAAGGTGAATAGCATTTTATTTCCCACGACTAAAGGAAAAGCCTTGTTGAAAGACTTACAACCAGCATGATGTAACAGACCTCAAAAAGTTAAAAACTAAATCCAATCATTATCGGTACCAAGTCAAAGAAGTGAAACTATGGCATTCTAATCTCATTAATTTAATTGTTTTTACAATTACAAATGCAAAGAACAGGCATATTAGTAAATTATTAGCAAATGCTATATGACAAACTATTAGCAAAACAGCAGCAAACATACATTTATAATGTAAGGAACCACTGAATGGAACTGCAGGCTTTATCAACAAAAGATAAAAAACTTTGTGGACTGGGTTCGGTCACTGCACGCATTACAAAAAACACAAGAAAATAATGTCATAAACACAGTATGAGGCTTACCTTACATGACAGAATGCTAATATCCACCCATCATCGATTAACATTAGATTTTCTGCCTTAAAGCTCATGTTCAGGTCTATGCCATAAGCTCCATAGACATGAATCAGAAGTGGCCTCCTGCACAGCTCTATAGAATTGGCTGCATGAAAAACGGTAATTGGCACCCAAGTTCCATCCTGGAAATGAAGGAGTATTTTACATTAAAGGATGTTTCGAAGTTCACAAGGGACACGTGGGAACAAAAGCTTCAATTATACATTTTAGAGCATGTTTTTTCTTATTACAGTAATTCCTTGCCACTTTGACTGCACAAAAGCCCTCTCAAAAAATAAAACAGGAGATTGGCCTGCCACTGGGTTCGTTTACCAATGCGGAGCATAAAAACTCATTTAAATGCAACACCTGAGAAGTCTATACAACATGAAAGCTACCGGCTCCTCCTGCACTCTCTAATGATAACCCATCTGCATTACGACCCAAGTAGTTTAGCACTTAAGTGCAGCAGCAAACCTTTAGTTATAAACTTAACATTTCTATGTATGTATATATTTAGTTTAAAGCCTGAAAGTTTCCTAGGAATTCTCTTTTGCATGAATAACACATCCATCAGGACAGGGCGTGTTATTTTTGTTCTTCTCTCACCTCCATTTACCCAGCTTTCTTCCATTTGTTTGTAATATATTATGGCTGTATTAGGACAGATTGAGTAGCCCTTATCCAAAATACTTGGGATCAATTTATTTTAGATTTTGTCAGATTTTGAAGTACTGATATTTGCATATATGCGCACAATTAGATAGTGTATTTCATTGATTGTAAGACACGCTCCCACATATAAACATCCCTAAAAATGGGATGCGTCTGTGATAGTCTTTTTTTTCTGTTGATGGTACTGAAATTACTGTGAGTCTTGCAATTGATAGCATTAAAATTAAAGAAATGTGGGTATCTTTGAGATAGGGCACAAGTCTAAACAAGGAATTAAATTATGTTTAGAGGCATAGCCTGAAGATAATTTTATACAATACTCTAAATAATTTTGTGCATGAAAGAAAGTTTGTGTACACTGACCTGTTAGAAAGCAAAGGTGTTATTATCTCAGCCACCGGCACCGTGGTGGTGCAATGGGTTAAACCCTTGTGGCAACTGAACTGCTGACCTGAAGATCGTCAGTATGAATCCGCGAGACGGGGTGAGCTGCCAACTGTCAGCTCCAGCTTCCTATGTGAGGACATGAGCAAAGCCTCCCACAGGATGGTAACATATCCGGGCATCTCCTTGGCAATGTCGCTGTGGACATCCAACTCTCTCACACCAGAAGCGACTTGCAGTTTCTCAAGTAGCTTCTGACACAATTAAAAAAAAATCTCAGCCAATCATGTGGACAATTTTGGGTTTCAGAATTTTGGACAACGGATACTCAACCTGTACTTTTTGTATGAACATTTTCATTGTTACATCAAACGCATATATACTTGTTTTGGGATACTCTAGTGATTGTCCTTAAAAGTCTGTCCCATACAGTAGGACAAGACTAGTGTTAATGTAACAAGATACATTTCTGCGCCATAAGTTTTCTCTCTCATTAGAAAAAATAGAACCTTTACATTCATCATGCTCAAAATCAGAATTAGAAAAAGAAACGTGAAGCCCGCTGAACCCCTGCAGGGTAGCCTACCAACACTCTCTGACCTACTAAAGATGGCATCTTGAGGACTTTATGAAGCACCGGTCCTTATTTTCCTTCTAAATGCTTTTTGAAAAGAGGGTGAGAGAATTGAGAGTCTTACCTTGCTCTTAGCTTCTAAGCGTATGGTGTGACAATTCACAGTAATTGGTGCCTCTTGTGTTGTATGCTCAACAAGGCTGTTATCTGCCAGTGAATATGCAAAGCGTACTGGAGGTTGAACTGGGGAGATCAGCCAAAAACAGCAAGTGCTGGTGGTATGTTCAGGACGTGGCTCCAATTCAAACGAACAGGCCCAAGCAGGTAGCTGGGGAAAAAAATCCAAACCAATATTATTATCCTCCTTATTTTATTTTAATTTTTGTTTTCCTCTGCAGAATATCTTCCATTGCCTGCTTTCCAATGAAAGGATTTGGACTTCAGGCTTAATTAACTTTGGCGTGTGCACCTGCCAGGAATTGCTTTTCTCTCTCCCTATAAACAGGAAAAAAAATGTCGAGAGAAACAGTACAACGACGAGAAGAGAACAATTTAGCTACCTTCCCCCTTTCTCTAAAAGCTACTTAATGAGGTTCAACATACGACACAAATGGAAAACAAAATCCTGGTCTATTTTGAAAAAGAAAAGAAAAAAAGCAAGCAAGCAGGACAGTGCCAAATGCCCTTAAAAATGTGATTTCCCTGGTTAAAAACAAGCCGCAATCAGGGTCAAGCGTGTTATCTGCTGAAAGAGTTTTATCTAGTAGGGCTGCGAGTCATTAGGAAGTTTTAAAAAATCTCTCTTGCTTCCCTTCTGTCTGCCCCTTCACTTTGTCCAACTTGAAACCCAGCCAAGGCAACGTCAGTTATTTCACGGAGGCCATGCCTTGGCTTTGGAGGCTCCGCCACTTACAATCCCTGCCTCTGACTCCGTTCCCAGCGCTAGCCATTGTGAAGAACAAAATCATTTTTTTGGCACAGCTACACTCAGAAACTCCGGGCTATTATGTTTTAAGTCTTAACACTTCTAGAAATGAAAGGAATCAAGATTCATTCTCTGAAAGCAGCAGGGTCTCTTACCCACTGCTTACTTTCTTTTAAGGAGTTCTGGTTAGTAGGTTGATAAAGGCTTTGGGAATTGTGGCAGTCAGAGTCAAAAAGCTTTACACAGAAAAACCGCTCTCCGTGTAATTGATTAAAACCTGAAGAGGATCAATCTAAAAAGTCTAGAAAACCCTGCAGAATGGGTACTATATTTAACTTGAATGGTACAATTAGGAGGCCGGTTGGAGAGCGTATAAGTTTACCCTTTTATATTACAAGGATTCTAAGTGACATTTTAAAATATTTTCAGATAGCAGAGTTTAAAGGCAGGCACTATCTTGGTTTTTAAAAAGAGATAATGCTTTTGCTTATTGAGTTTCAAAGTTTGAAATAAAATATGTCTAGATGTTGGGATAATATGGTCAATTTAATTGATTATCTCTTTCTTTCTTTCTTTCTTTCTGTCTGTCTTTCTCGTATCAGAAGCAAACCTGAGGACACAGCTGTATTTTTATGTTTTTAAAAAACACACAAAGTTTAAATATCCTTTGACCACTATCTGGTCACTTGGAGTGCCTCTGGTATTGCTGTAAGGAGGTCCTCCATTATGCATGTGGCATGGCTCAGGCTGCATTGTAATAGCTGGTCTGTGGTTTGCTCTTCTCCACACTCGCATGTTGTGGACTCCACTTTGTGGCCCCATTTCTTAAGGTTGGCTTTGTATCTCATGGTGCCAGAACACAGTCTGTTCAGCACTTTCCAAGTCACCCAGTCTTCTCTGTGACCAGGAGGGAGTTAATAATAATAAAAATAAACCTTCTCATGCGGTCTCAGTCACTGAGGATTATTATTATTATGTCTTACTATTATTATCACAACAAGATGAGTCCATAGCAGACACTCTGCAGCCTGTTGTATTGGATCACACATCGGACACTTCCCAAGTGTCTAGGACTGTGTGATGTATCGGCGAATAATGCGTGCAGATCCCAGTAAGGTGGCCTTCTGCAGCTTGCAGATGGTAATTTTGTCAACGCCGATTGTGTTTAAGTGCAGGCCAAGGTCTTTAGGCACAGATCACCGTGTACCGATCACCACTGGGACCACCTTGACTGGCTTGTGCCAGAGTCTTTGCAGTTCGATCTTTAAATCCTCATATCATGTCAGCTTTTCCAGTTGTTTCTCTTCAATCCTGCTGTCACCTGGGATTGCAACATCGACAATCCATACTTTGTTTTTTAACACGATCGTGAGGTGAGGAGTATTGTGCTCCAAAACTCTGTCTGTCTGAATTCGGAAGTCCCAGAGTAGCTTGACGTGTTCATTCTCTCTAACTTTTTCCAGCTTGTGATCCCATCAGTTCTTTGTCACAGGCAGATGGTATTTTTGTAGCACAAGTTCCAATTAATCATCTAAGGAATGGTGTTATGCCTCTGCTTGTAGTCTGTCTGTCTATTGTTGTTGTTATTATTATTGAGGTATTTGTATATTGCCCTTTTCAACCCTGAAGGGGACTCAAGGCAGTTCACAGATTCCGGGCTTTAGTCTGGCACTTCTGAACTTTCGCTTGCTGAGGTGTTCCTGCAAGTATCTCTGTACATCTTAGGAAGCTGTTTCTTGATTTAAGGCGTTGGCCTGCTGGCTGATATCAGAACAGGGGATGGGCTGGAGATAACAACAACAACAACAACAACAACAACAACAACACTTTATTTATACCCTGCCCTATCTCCCCAAGGGGACTCAGGGCGGTTTCTAACAAAATGCCAAACATTCAATGCCAAAACCAGACAATGATAAATCAAATCAAAACAGTGGATAAAACAATCTCAAAATAAACTTATACAACTAAATGAGAAATAATACATAACTGAACTTAAACAAACATAATATAACCCATTACACACAATTTCCACAGGCTGAAGTAGGTGTCCAATATCTAGATGATATATATAAAGCTGCAGTAGTCTTTCTCCTCTCCATATGCTAAGGTGTATAAATGAGTATTTTAAAGCTTTTTAAAGGAGAGGATTTTTAAATACTTTGATTCAAGTATAACTGAGAGAAATGAAAAACAAATAAATAAAAGGATTATTTATGTGGGACGCCTGCAATGTTATTATTGCTCACAAATTAAAATAACCAAGGTACAGCTAATATGCTTTATGTATAAAAAATGATTAATTTCATTTCTTTTCTCAAAATCACTTGCTGTCATTGAATATTTGGTGGATTTGTGTAGAAAACAGTTGAGATCCCATAAGATGAGTGAGGACAAATTGAGCATCTCTTATTTGGAATTCCAGTATCTAAAATATTCCAAATACTTTATCTTGGTTAAATTTACATGAGATGGAGAAGTGGGAGAGGGTGCCCTGCAATACTGCTCATAAAAGCCTTGAAGTTAAAAATTAGGTGTGTGTAGCTTCACCAAACCCCTTTTAGGGTATTAGATAATAGTAAAGGTAAAGGTTTTCCCCTGACATTAAGCCCAGTTGTGTCTGATTCTGGGGATTGGTGCTGATCTCCATTACTAAGCTGAAGAGCTTGCTTGTCCACAGACATCTCTAAGGTCATGTGGCCAGCATGACTCCATGGAGCGCTGTTACCTTCCTGTGGGGCAGTACCTATTGATCTACTCACATTTGCAATCTACGTTGGTAGAAGCTGGGGCTAACAGAGGGATCTCAAGTGGTTTAATCCAATGTGCCACTGGGGGGCTTTATTTCTAGACCTCCCTCTCTTCTAAACGGGATTTCTAAATTTCTACCTGCTGTTCATTCATAAATGAATGTAGAAAAAATTGATCTTAAAAAGTACTATTTATATTAAAATTGAAATATTTACCTTAATTCTGCAAATGGAGTTTGACACAAGAGAAATAACATCCAAATAGAGCTGGCCGGAGAACTTTAGAAAGACAACGCAGTGGTCTTTGAACATCTCTAAATCAACCAGTTTTGTTTTTTCTTTTACTGTGTAAACCAACAGCCAGTTCTCCAAACCACATGATCCAACTGGAGCCTTCATCAGCTTGAAAAAAAGTAAAGAAAGCAGAATGTTCAACCACCTAAACTGGGCTCTACAGGCCAATGGATACTCCACCACAGACATCAGAAGAGCCGCAAGACTGAGAACAAGCCATGAAAGTAAAGACTATTTATTTATTTATTTATTTATTTATTTATTTATTTAGAGCTTTTATAACCTGGTCTTCTCGACCTCCGAAGAGGGACTCAGGCCGGCTCACAACAAAAGATTCATAAACAATAGTAATTCATAAACAAAGATCCACCCAGAGGGAAAGTATTCTTACCATACATCAAGGGAACCACTGACCACATAGGGAAGTTGATGAAGAAACACAACCTATAAAATATTTACAGACCCACTAAGAAAATCCAACAAATCCTACATTCAGCAAAGGACAAGCGGGATCTTCTCACCTCTACCATATACCATGCAGCTGTGGACAAGTCTACATAGGAACCACCAAACACAGTATTGCCCAGACACGAATCAAGGAACATGAAAGGCACTGCAGACTCATTCAACCAGAGAAGTCAGCTATAAAAGAGTACCTTATGAACCAATCTGGACACAGCATATTATCTGATAACGTATTATCTGAGAAATACTGGACCACTCTAACTATCATCATGTTAGACTAGGAGTCCTCAAACTAAGGCCCGGGCGCCGGAGATGGCCCTCTGAGGTCATTTACCCGGCCCTCACTCAGGATCAACCTAAGTCTGAAATGACTTGAAAGCACACAGCAGCAACAACAACAATTCTATCTCATCAACCAAAAGCAGGCCCATACTTCCCATTGAAATAATAATAAGTTTATATTTGTTAAAATTGTTCTTCATTTTAATTATTGTATTACTTTAAAATATTTTTTGCACTACAAATAAAATATGCGCAGCATGCATAGGAATTCATTTTTTTCAAATTATAATCTGACCATCCTACAGTTTGAGGGACTGTGACCTGGCCCTCTGTTTAAAAAGTTTGAGGACCCCTGTGTTAGACTATGCAGAGAAGCCATTGAAATCCACAAGCATGTGGACAATTTCAACAGAAAGGAGGGCACTGTGAAAATGAACAAAATTTGGCTACTAGTATTAAAAAAAACCCCTCTAAAATCAGGACAGTAAATAAAGAGCAAAACTCAAAAAATAGGGGAATTCCAGACAAGAATCTATGAGGGTCAGCTAACACCTGCCAACAAAATATCTCCCCAGGCAGCAACCAGCCAGGATTTGAAGCTGCAAGGCCATTAAAGATGGCCAATTGCAACATTCAAACTTGCCTCAAGCAGACAAGAGTTCTTTCTTCCACCCTCGACACTCCACAGATATATAAACCTCACTTGCCTACTTTCCAACAGGCTTCACAACCTCTGAGGATGCCTGTCATAGATGTGGGTGAAACATCAGGAGAGAATGCTTCTGGAACATGGCCATGCAGCCTGGAAAACCCACAGCAACCCAGAAAGCAGAATGGTCCCACATACTCATATTAAAAGCCCTTAAATCACATAGCATCAAAGCATGTTCAGAGATCAGACATTGGTTTCTAACTAATGCACTATAGCAATAGGTAACAATTTTCTGTAACTACCTCAATATTATACTAAATAGATCTAAATATGCTGGAAAGATAGTATGTTGCTCAGGTTCATGGCATCTGAATGCAGAGAGGTGCTTTGCTCAAATTCTTATATTTAGAGAAAACAGGGGATTCTACTCTTTCCTGGAAGGATACATGTCCTACTTTTAGGGAAAAGATGTGTTCAACAACAACAGAGAACAGATGGGTGTAAATGCTTGCTTCAGTGTAACACAATGAAAGAAAAAATAACCAAGTAACACATATATCCAGCTTCTATTCAAGTACTAGTCATAAATCAAGAAAGTACCCAGCTGAGTAACACTTTATTTTTGTTTTCAGCTGTTTGCAGTATTTTCCCTTCCCAGCAGGAAAGACAATAAAAAGATGAAATCGACTCCAGGAGGGCAGCAGAGCTAAGCGGTGGTAATGGGCAGAATTATATTCTAGAGCAATGTATATCGTAGAAGTGAATTTAATGTTAACTCTGAGAGATCTATGACTAAAAGTACCCCAAATTCTACCTTTTTAATGAAAAGGAGAGGAAAAACAGCACAAGCTCAGCTGAAGTGGAACATTGAAGTTATTGTTTCCAGATAATAAACCTCTATATTGTCAGCTCTGTCCTTACACCAGAACCCAGCACAAGGAGGGCAACCCAGGTAATGAATGGCTCTGTGTAGATTTGCTGCAGGAACAAAAGCCAATTGTTCTTGTTGTTATGGGCTGTCAGGTGGACTCGGATTTATGGCAATCCTTTCTCAGGGTTTTCTTGGCAAGATGTATTCCAAGTAAGTTTGCTTTTACCTTCCTGTGAGGTTGAGAGAATGTAACTCGCCCAAGGTCATCCAGTGGGTTGGAGCCCCCAGTGGCGCAGTGGGTTAAACCCCTGTGCCGACAGGACTGAAGACCGACAGGTCGCAGGTTCGAATCCAGGGAGAGGCGGATGAGCTTCGTCTATCAGCTCCAGCTCCTCATGTGGGGACATGAGAGAAGCCTCCCACAAGGATGATAAAACATCAAATCATCCGGGCATCCCCTGGGCAATGTCCTTGCAGACGGCCAATTCTCTCACACCAGGAGCGACTTGCAGTTTCTCAGGTCGCTCCTGACACGACAATTTATTTATTTTTTTAAAATCCAGTGGGTTTCCATGACTGAGCAGGGATAGGAACCCCATTTTCATAGAGTCATTGGCCCCTACTACACTGCCATATCTCCAGCAAAGGATCACCGCCTTGTCGGGGCGCTGGAGCTTGAGCACCTCAATGATGTCATGAGCGAAACCGTGAAGGGACACCCAAGACGGGACGGTTGTGGCAGAGAGGTCAGACCAAGCGTGATCCCTGGGGAAGGCAATGGCAAACCACTCCAGTATCCTTGCCAAGAAAACTAAATGGACCAGTACACCCAGAGATATGTCGGTATGCCATTGGAAGATGGGACTCCCAGGTCGGAAGATGGCCAAAATGCTACTGGGGAGGAGCAGAGGATAAGTTCAACTAGCCCCAGATGTGATGACGCAGCTAGCTCAAAGCCGAAAGGAAGGCTAGCGGCCGACGGTACTGGAGGTGAACGACGAATCCGATGCTCTAAAGATCAACACACCATAGGAACCTGGAATGTAAGATCTATGAGCCAGGGCAACTTGGATGTTGTTATTGGCGAGATGTCAAGACTAAAGATAGACATTCTGGGGGTCAGCCAACTGAAGTGGACTGGAATGGGCCACTTCACATCAGATGACCACCAGATCTACTACTGCGGACAAGAGGAACATCGAAGAAATGGAGTAGCCTTCATAATTAATAAGAAATTCGCTAAAGCGGTACTTGGATACAACCCAAAAAATGACAGAATGATCTCAATTCGAGTGCAAGGAAAGCCTTTCAACATTACAGTGATCCAAATATACGCCCCAACCACAGCTGCTGAAGAAGCAGAAGTAGATCAGTTCTATGAGGATCTGCAGGACCTACTGGATAATACACCAAAAAGAGACATTATTTTCATTACAGGAGACTGGAATGCCAAGGTGGGAAGTCAAATGACAACAGCGATCACAGGCAAGCATGGTCTGGGAGAACAAAATGAAGCGGGACGCAGGCTGATAGAATTTTGCCAGGAAGACTCGCTGTGTATAACGAATACTCTCTTCCAACAACCTAAAAGACGGCTTTACACATGGACCTCACCAGACGGTCAACACCGAAATCAGATTGACTACATCCTTTGCAGCCAAAGGTGGCGGACATCCATCCAGTAGGTGAAAACAAGACCTGGGGCTGACTGTAGCTCAGATCACGAACTTCTTATTGCCCAATTTAGAATAAAACTAAAGAGATCAGGGAAAATACACAGACCAGTTAGATATGATCTCACTAACATTCCTAGCGAATATACAGTGGAAGTGAAGAACAGATTTGAAGGACTAGATTTAGTAAACAGAGTCCCAGAAGAACTATGGACAGAAGTCCGAGACATTGTTCAGGAGGCGGCAACAAAGTACGTCCCAAAGAAAAAGAAAACCAAGAAGGCAAAATGGTTGTCTGCTGAGACACTGGCCACTACTTTATCTTTGCGTTCTCCCGTTTCCTCCTCCGCCCATGAGCCCACACCCTGGAACCTTTACGCTAGCCCAATCTGAACACGCGGTTGATACGGAACACTGGCAAAGCAAAAGGAATACATGGGATAGGGGAGATCCCCCCCCATGACTCATGTTCCATCATTTATTATGTACGCCCACCCCAATTCAGGATTGGTTTTCATGCCAGATTTATGTGATGATAAGGAACCTTATGTTGTCCACATAAGTTCATATGTTTTATGTGACAGTGGAACCGAATTTTTGGATCATACCATGACAACATCAGTAAGCGCCACAATCTTCCCCTTTATGATGCCATCCTTCCTCCCCTCTCCGACATTTATATTTGCCAACCATCTTTTTGTCGGACCTTTTCCTGCGCTGTCATAATTTTATATTGGTTCACAAAACTTCTGCGTCCCTGTCAGGACTAACGTAATGACACAAGCCCACTCGAGTCATGGGATTTTTACAGTACCAGCCAAGCCTACGAATGCAGTACTCGCAACTCCGAGAATTTCTTTTTCCTTTATTCCCTTCGGTGGCGAGACTATACAGAAGATCTGTATAGGAAGGATAATAATATTGAGGATAGTTTTGACGGTGTGGTGAATGAATTAGAACCAGACATCCTGAGGAGTGAGGTTGAATGGGCCATAAGAAGCATTGCTAACAACAAGGCAGCAGGAGATGACGGGATCCCAGCTGAACTGTTTAAAATCTTAAAAGATGATGCTGTCAAGGTGATGCATGCCATTTGCCAGCAAATATGGAAAACACAAGAATGGCCATCAGACTGGAAAAAATAAACTTATATCCCCATACCAAAAAAGGGAAATGCGAAAGACTGCTCAAACTTCCGTACAGTGGCCCTTATTTCTCATGCCAGTAAGGTAATGCTCAAGATCCTGCAAGGAAGACTCCAGCAATACATGGAGCGAGAGTTGCCAGATGTTCAAGCTGGGTTTAGAAAAGGTAGAGGAACGAGAGACCAAATTGCCAATATCCGCTGGATAATGGAGAAAGGCAGGGAGTTTCAGAAAAACATCTACTTCTGCTTCATTGACTATTCTAAAGCCTTTGACTGTGTGGATCATAATAAATGTGGCAAGTTCTTAGTGGGATGGGCATCCCAAGCCACCTTGTCTCTCTCCTGAGGAATCTGTACAAGGACCAAGTAGCAACAGTCAGAACTGACCACGGAACAACAGACTGGTTCAAGATTGGGAAAGGCGTACGGCAAGGCTGGAAGAAACATTAACAACCTCAGATATGCAGATGACACCACTCTGATGGCCGAAAGCGAGGAGGAGCTGAGGAGCCTTCTAATCAAGGTGAAAGAAGAAAGCGCAAAAGCCGGGTTGCAGCTAAACGTAAAAAAAACCAAGATTATGGCAACAAGAATGATTGACAACTGGAAAATAGAGGGAGAAAACGTGGAGGCCGTGACAGACTTTGTATTTCTAGGTGCAAAGATTACTGCAGATGCAGACTGTAGCCAGGAAATCAGAAGACGCTTACTTCTTGGAGAGGAGAGCAATGTCCAATCTCGATAAAATAGTAAAGAGTAGAGACATCAGACTGGCAACAAAGATCCGCCTAGTCAAAGCCATGGTATTCCCTGTAGTAACCTACGGATGTGAGAGCTGGACCTTAGGGAAGGCTGAGCGAAGGAAGATCGATGCTTTTGAACTGTGGTGTTGGAGGAAAGTTCTGAGAGTGCCTTGGACTGCGAGAAGATCCAACCAGTCCATCCTCCAGGAAATAAAGCCCGGCCTGCTCACTGGAGGGAAAGATACTAGAGACAAAGTTGAAGTACTTTGGCCACATCATGAGGAGACAGGAAAGCCTAGAGAAGACAATTATGCTGGGGAAAGTGGAAGGCAAAAGGAAGAGGGGCCGACCAAGGGCAAGATGGATGGATGGCATCCTTGAAGTGACTGGACTGACCTTGAGGGAGCTGGGGGTGGTAACGGCCGACAGGGAGCTCTTGCGTGGGCTGGTCCATGAGGTCACGAAGAGTCGGAGACGACTGAACGAATGAACAACAACAACACACTGCCATATAAAATCCAGATTATCTGCTTTGAACTGGATTTTATGGCAGTGTAGACTAAAATAACCCAGTTCAAAGCAGATAATCTGGATTTTCTACTTTGATAATCTGTATTATATGACAGTGTAGAAGGGGCCTTCGGTCATTTCTACAGAGCTCTATAAAATTCACATTATCTGCTTCGAACTGGATTATATGGCAGTGTAGACTAAGATAATCCAGTTCAAATCAGCTAATGTGGATTTGCTGCTGCAATAACCTGATTATCTGACAGTGTAGAAGGGACCTTAGGGCCCTTCCACACAGCCCTATATCCCAGAATATCAAGGCAGAAATTCCCACATTATCTGCTTTTAACCGGAATATATGGAAATGTGGACTGAGATAACCCAGTCTGAAGCAAATATTGTGGGGTTTTCTGCCTTGATATTTTGGGATATAGGGCCGTGTGGAAGTGCCTCTTGTCTAACATTCAGGCCACTACTCCACAACAGTTCCTATAATAACCAATTATTGCTTTTAAATATCAGTCAATTGACCGATTGGTCAATCCATCCATCAGTCAGTTAGGAAAAATGAATTTGCTAGCACACAACAAGAAGTATGCAGAGGTGTCAAAGGCCTAAATGAAATGAGATGCAAAGTTAATGAAATGGTGGACCACTGCTTTATTGGTTACGGTTGCTGCCTGTGTGACTTTAAGCCCCTCTATAAGGCAATGCGAAAGGTTTTGCAAATGATTTTCCTTACACTGGTGTCTAACATAATAAAGTATAACTGTATTTGTTTAGATATTGTTTGTATTAATTCTAATAGTACCTGAACACAGCTTTCAGATGTGAATTCACCTCTACTAAATGTCTCTTTCAAAACTAATCAGGCCATCAATTCATACCTTGTATCCTATTGGGTCTCCAAATGTTGTAAGAATATACAACTCATTGTTTCTATGTTCAACATTGTAAATGACTCCTTCAGTCCGTTCCTGCACAAGAAGAGGTGTTTTCAAAGGATGGCAACAGTCAACCAACCACACTTCGGAGGTAGACTTACTATTACTGTTTATAGTCAGAAAGCGCTTATCTTTTGTGAGGTAGAGATCCACAAAATACCTGCAGGCATAGAACAAATAAAATAGTAATTCAATAATACACCATGAATAATACATCTGCAAAGTTACCCAAGACATATGGATAGAAAAGGCTCCCATAAATTGTAGAATATCATCTTTAACCAGTTAAGTTAATATAGGATTAGTTACAGGATGAGTACCTTATTTGCCCAGCTATTTTTTACATTATTGAACTTAGCCAACAACTAGTGTTTTCTTAATGATATACAATTATCTTCAACTTTGACCGACAATAAACTCCAAGATATTTTCCATCACTATTTGCTTTTTTTACTTTAAAATGAATGTGCTTGGATGTATCTACTCTAGGAATTTTCTTGTGCAGCTTCCATAGAACTCTGGTTCTTGACTAATATATGGCGCCATAGCTTGACCTCTATTACAACACCCTTTTATATGTTTCATTATATTAAACCCACCATAAATGCCACATCCATATTGAAACATTCATGAAATGTGTCAGTGTAACTTATGAAGTACTGAAATAACATCCCATTAATGCCTATGTTCCATGCACTCAGTTGGACAACTCGACAGAGTGGTGGAAGTGTCTCCTAAGAAATATGGGGTGGGCATAGGTTCTCTGGAGACACTAGTGTCCCACAATCAGGCTTAGATTCTAAAGTGTGTGTGTGTGTGTCAGGAGCAAGTCGCTTCTGGTGTGAGAGAATTGGCCGTCTGCAAGAATGTTGCCCAGGGGATGCTCAAATTATTTGATGTTTTTATCATCCTTGTGGGAGGCTTCTCTCATGTCCCCGCATGAGGAGCTGGAGCTGATAGAGGGAGCTCATATGCCTCTCCCCAGATTAGAACCTGCGACCTGCAGTCTTCAGTCCTGCTGGCACAGGGGTTTAACTCACTGCGCCACTGGGGGCTCCTAAGGTAAATTCAATTTATTGATGTTCACGGAACCATCCTGCACTCAGGAAAATGTTCCTCAATGTTTCTCAAACTCTAGTCTTCCAGGCATTTCAGACTTCATCTCCCAGAATCCCTAATCATTGGCCAAGGCAGCTGACGTTTCTGGGAGTTGAAGTCCAAAATACCTGGGGGACTAGAGTTTGGGATCCATTGCTCTAGGGCACTGCTTCTTAAACTGTGGGGCCCAACCCCAAATGGGGTCCCCTTAGCTCAACATTGGGGTCCAGAAAACAGTGAACATTTTCTGAACGTCATTTGTTGGCTGTTGTAGACATTTACATGAATCTCTTGTGTAGTGCATAATAGATGCACTGCACAATTGCACTGTACAGCAGACTCTCCAGAACATGCTTCAGCTGTACTCCATAAAAGAAAATTAGCCTGTTTAGCATGCCTTGCAAATGCTGAATTGTTACCAGTCAATGGTTGATTTTATACCTGTTCTAAACACCTATATACCTGGAATCACATAAACATTTCTCGGGCTGAAAGGGGCCATTAGTGGAAAGGTTTGCGAAATCCTGCTCTAGAGGATTAGAGACTCCTCCTAAATAATCTGGGAGGAATGCTGAGAGGAGAAATGGATAAGACACATTAATTTCACCCGCTTCCCCAAAGCACCTAATTGTAGCATCCAAGCCAATGAGCACAACATTCATGTAATCTTGATAAAATTCAATAAACACACGTCTCTGAGAGCACGTTTTGTTTCTTAAGTGTGGATTTCAGCATTCTACTCTAAACTGTATGTTGTGGTTCTGTCAGATGAAGATGACGGGATTGGTATTTCAGAACCTGGGAGAGAGGTGGATGGTTCTTTCAATGAAGGAAATGAGGAGATTTAGAGCAAGGTTCTGTCTGTGAGAATAGGTTTGAAAGTGAAACTGTTTTGGAGTCCAGCAGACAGGGAGATGCAGTGTCTGGTGGAGACTGACTAGTAGCATAGCAACTAGGGCTGGGCGGTTTCGTTTCGTTAATTCTTAATTCGTTAAAAATTCGTTATTTTTTTTATAATGAAGCGTTAACGAACCTTTCCGGAGCAACTTAAAAACGAAACGAATTTTTAAATTTGTTTCGTAAATGCTTCGGATTCGTTATGCATTCGTTTCGTTATCGGTTTGAGGTCGTTTCATTATTATTTCCGCATGTCTGGGGCAAGTTTTATAGTTGTTTTTTGTTTAATTAGTGAAAAAAAATTATAATATCACATCAACAGTCAACAACAGAGGGAGAAGGAAGCTTCAGAAGTTCCCCCTGTCCCATTTGGAGGTTTTTTAGCGTATTGCGCGGTCGCGTCCGCCATTAACGAATCGATTCGTTATTGTTTTGTATTTGTTTCGTTAATGTTTTGTAATTTTTTTTAACATTTACGAAATTTCGTAAATATCGAACTTTTTAAAAGAAAAATTTCAGAATTCTTTTAAATATCGAAACGCAAAACCCCCCAAAAAACAAATCGATTTTAGAAACAAATTTTTCCATTGTTACCCAGGCCTAATAGCAACCCCAGTTAAAGACATGGAAGGCAAGGAGAAAATTTGCTGGAGGGCCTATCAGGCTTGATCTTAGTGAGAAATCCAGCGAGCTCAAAAAATCGCAAAGACTGTGAGAAAGAAGAGCGGAAAAAGTCTCACAGGCAAGGGAGCCAAGGTCATGGAAATGACTTCATGTTTTTTAGTCTTTAAATCAGAGAAGTGTCTCTTTGAGAATTCAGATCAGGCAACACTGCTAAACAGTAAGGATCTCAAGTCCTGTTTTAGTTCATGTTTTTAGTCTAAGGTCTTTGGAGTTTTGGTTCATGTTTTAAGAAATTCTTATAGCCTTGGTTTTGGATTAATACTCATGTTTTGATTCTTGTTTTCCTGGATTTATGCTCATGTTATGATTCTGGTTTTTTCTGTAACTTTTTGATTATTTGGAATTTTGCCTTTGAAGTGTTCTAGTCCTAACCAGTTTGGTTGGCTTTTTACATATTTACTATTTTTTCCTGTTACCACGTATTCTTCTTTTATTTCACCTGAAGAGTTTGTGTGTCTTCTTAAACATTCTAGCAAGGAGGTGGCCTATGAAACAATAGAAGGTGGCAATAAAAGAAACCTTAATAAGTATTTAGTGGCAGCAAAGAAAAAATTAATCTATAGTGGTGCCATCCCACTGTCCTGCCTTGTGGGGGTGTGTGTGTCTTTTATCCCTCATGGCCTTTGTTGGCCGTACCTGTCCTTCTTTAGCAGTCTCTTATATTGCACCATCCAATGAGTCTCATGGCACAATGGCAAAAGATGAGTAGAGTGGCAAAGGACAAAAGCTTAAGGCTGTTTTATGAAAACTTAAAATAAGTGACGATCCCTTCTATTCTCTTGGTACTTCTTTGGGGGAAGCTGCCAAGATTGTTAGCTGCCGCCACCATTTTCTCAACCAGACATCCAAAAAGGCCAGTAGCAGCACTGGAGAGGAGAGAGTAGAGGGGATTGGTTCTTATTTCATGTTTTCACAAGATGTCTAAGCTCTCAACTTTTGCCTCTCTCATCAGAGAAGGGAATATTTCCTTTATTAAAAGCAAGATTGCTTGCATTGACCCATGGACAAGTTGACCCAGGTTTTTTGGGTCAATTTATTTACTAGAAATGTTATATGCAGTACGTTGTAGTTCACCATCTACAGTACGTTGTAACACAACATCTACAGACAAGAGTATATACAGTACCCTGCCTGAACAATTGTGAGCCTTGCAGCTAAGCTTAGAAGGATCAAGGAAGACTTAGGGGAATGCTAACCCAAAAGTCCAACTGCCTTGATCCCATGAGCCCTGGCTCTGCTACAACTCTAATTGTTTCAACAGGCAGGTTTGACTGAAATGTCTTTTTATTTAAGATGATTGCAACCCTCAAGATATTGGACTGGTTTATACTTAATGACTGTCAGCAACCTGAACAAATTAATTTCATCTGATGTTGTACAGTCATGAGGCTACTGAGTTAGAAAGATCTCTGGTTTGACCCACCACAACAATTTCAATGTTTGTCTGCATGAACCTTCTCTACTCTCTCACCAAAGGACACCCTGACCCAAAACTGACCTTGGCATTTCCAAACTTATCTATCCAAGCCTAAGTTGCTTTTTCAAAGAGCATGACAGCAATACAGGATAACTGCAAGGTCTTTGACTAGAGTCTTCTATTGCTGCTTGTTCCGTTAAAACACATCCTTGATTAGTAAGAATTTGCTCCTATCTGTTATTTTCGTTTTATACATTTATAAAACAGAAAAGAGCCAAGACAGTATATTTTATTAAGCATCACGTTTGTTTCTGATGGGATAAACTATCCTTAAAACTCAAAGCATTCAATTCAGACAAAGAGGTTTACCTCAATCTAAGCAGCATTAAATTTAAGAACTTGGGATAGTCTTAAACCCCTCTGTTATCAGTTGGACAGAGGTCAAACAAAACACCACATAAAACATACAGAATGTATAGCCAAATAATGAATCAGTTTTTGTTTTATGTATTGTCGAAGGCTTTCATGGCTCAGACATCAGAAGAGCTGCAAGACCAAGAACAAGCCACGAGAGTCAAGATGAAGATCCACCCAGAGGAAAAGTGTTCCTGCCATACATCAAGGGAACCACTGACCGCATAGGGAAGCTGATGAGGAAACACAACATACAAACAATCTACAAACACCAAGAAAATCCAACAAATGCTACGTTCAGCAAGGACAAGAGGGATCCTCTCACCTCTGCAGGAGTCTACTGTATACCATGCAGCTGTGGACAAGTCTACATAGGGACCACCAAACGCAGCGCCCAACACGAATCAAGGAACATGAAAGGCACTGCAGACTACTTCAACCAGAGAAGTCAGCCATAGCAGAGCACCTGATGAACCAGCCTGGACACAGCATATTATTTGAGAACACAGAAATACTGGACCACACCAACAACCACCATGTCAGACTACACAGAGAAGCCATTGAAATCCACAAGCATGTGGACAATTTCAACAGAAAGGAAGAGACCATGAAAATGAACAAAATCTGGCTACCAGTATTAAAAAACTCTAAAATTATAACAGCTAAACAACAGAGAGGAAAAAACCAGGCACAGATTAACACCTCCCAGCAACAGATTTTCCCAAGCTCAGGCAGGCCTTCAAATGCTAATGAAGGTGATCAGCTAAACATTCACACCTAACTGCAGCAGGGAAGAGCTCCTTGCCCCACCCCAGCCATTCCACAGATATATAAACCCATTGTCCTAATTCCAAGAGACCTCACTACCTCTGAGGATGCTTGCCATAGATGCAGGCGAAACGTCAGGAGAAATGCCTCTAGAACATGGCTCTATAGCCCAAAAAAACCCCACAAGAACCTAGTTTTTGTTTTGTTTGAAAATCTATAAGGCTCTGTTATGGATTTGATCTTTATGTGTGTTGAACAGTCTGTGAAACTAGTTTTTATGCACTGTTTATTTACATATTTATTTACCCCATTTATATTCTGCCCTTCTCAACCCTGAAGGGGATTCAGGACGACCTTACAAAGGCAACAATTCAATGATATACATCAATACATCAGTAAATAAACAAAAAAATTAAAACCAAACTCATTAAAACATAACATTGAAACATTTATTAAAATCATATGTTCCAAATCGTATTCCAGGGCTGGCCCAAATCATCATTATGTTAATTTTTAGTCTCATATTGCACTACACCCATTACTGGCCGAAAGCCTGATCCCAGAGCCATGATTTCAGTTTTTTTCCTGAGAGTCAGGAGGGATGGTAGTGGCCCGTTGTCTGAAAAGGGAGTTCTACAGATGAAGGGCCACCACTGAGAAGGCCCTATCTCTCGTCCCCAGCAGAAGCGCTTGTGAGAGGGGCGGGACTGAGAGCAGGGCCTCCCCCGATGATCTTAACCTCTGAGGTGGGTCATAGAGGGGGATACATTTGGACAGATTCCCTATGCCACCCATTTTAACTCTCAGGTGGGACTGCAGGTGAATTTTTAGGTAGAAAGCACATAGGGGATGTTAAATTTCCACTGTGTCTTACACTATATTCCCTATGGAGACCGAGGGCACAGATTTACCCAAAGGAAATAGGAGATGTTCAGCTGCATGCCATATGCTTCATTTAGTGTATATTTTGCCCCTTGCATGGATTTTTTGTGGGAGTTTTGGGAAGGGGTGAAAGGTGATTTTTTGAACTATAATGTCCAGAACCTCAAATTCAAAATAGTCTCTATAGTAAACAAGTGATTTTCGAGGTTCTACCTTTAATACAGAATAGCATATAGAGAAATCAGTTTAAAATGTTTAGTTACCTTGCATCTTGTTCCTTATAAACTAGCCTGAAGATTTTTTTACTAAAATCAGACAAATACACATCATGACACTGAAGGTTCTTCTGGATGGTATAGAACAGAATTTCATGTGTAGCCCATTCTGGCAATGAAAAGGAAAGATGATTTATTTTTTCTCACTCATGTAAGGAAATCTAACATTTAGCAATGGGACACGTGAAGTGATCTGCACTTAATAAAGTACAAATAAAAAATATCAATGTAGGCACATAAAGCACATCTGATCACATTCCAACCACTGCTGTGGAGCAACAGATAAGACTATGCAAACTTTAAATTGCTCAAGGTTAGCTTCCCCTCACCCCACTTTGTGGAACAGACATGCAATAATTAATTTTTATGTTGGATATTGAACTTTTTTATTCAATGTAACCTATTGAAATATGTTACTCATACAAACCAAAGTTTTCTCTCTCCTAAGACTAATGTCAGGATTATAGTTGTGGATGAACTCCTGTCTACTCCCATCCCTGTTTGCCTTGCATTCCCATGTACCATCAGATCTGGAAGGGGAGCCATCACAATTGTTTGTCTAGTTAGAAAAGACAAGGTTGATATTGGGAAGATCTGATGGGTTTATCCTTCCTCCCTTCTTGTCCCTCTCCTCTGTTTGTCTTATGCCCCTCTGTAATTTTTTCTTGCCTGATCTATTATTATTATTATTATTATTATTATTATTATTAAATGAAATATCTTTAGGTTTGCATAAACAGAGTCGGGAGGTGTCTATTTGTTTTTTCCAACCTCTTCCCTGCCCTCCACACAACCCCTTTCCCCTTTAAAGTCCTGGACTGCTTTGTCTTCTTTCTTTTCTGTCTTTTTCAATTTGCCAGGGAAGAGTTGGAGAATGGATCGAGAGCCCTGAATGCATGAGGGGAGAAGTTTTGTTTAGAGGGTTGGGTTGCTGGGATGAGATCTTACACACTCTTCCTTAGAAGCAGATTTCCCCAGAGTTCAGGACCCATTCAGAAAAGGACTGCACTTCTCCCATTCCCAGGTCGATCGCTTGCGCCATTGGCAATTAGTGCTGTTTTTAATTGAGTGTTAGTTGTTGTTTCATGCTTATATGTTTTATTTAATTGTATTTTAAAATTGTTTTCATTTTATGTTCTGTTTTTATGCTGTGTGTATGTCACCCCAAGTCCCTTCAGGGACATGGTGGCGGGATACAAGAATGCAGTAGTAGTAGTAGTTGTTGTTGTTAGGAGAGAGAGAGCGAGAGAGAAAGAGAGAAGAGGGAAGAAGAGAAAGCTGGTTCTTTCACTGGCTCCATTCAACCAGGCTCTTTTCTCTTCCTTCGCCTTAGCAAAGCTATTTACCGAGTTGAGTGGGGGACGCCACTTCATAGGCCACATAAACTGACATGGCAGGCTGGATTTGGCCCATGGGCCTTGTGTTTGACACATGTGCTCTAGGTCATCCAACATGACTCTATGGTCAACTTTTGCTGGACTGGCATTGGGGAACCTAGAGATTTCTAGAGAGAACATATTAATCCAATCGATAAATAAACAAATTGCCAAAAAAATCAAACCCGTAGATGTGAAGGGCCAACTGTACATTTAGGATCTACAAAAGGAGTGAGGCTGAGAATTGTGTCCTCAAGTTGTCAACGAGGATACTAAAACAGTTGCAGAACATGAGATCTAGTCTTCAATCCAAGATTAACAGCTAGCCTTTTTGTAGATATGTTGGCGTCTCTATCTCCTGAAATCTCCCTTTAATAGCAAGTCCTAATCTCATTTCAATGGCTGAGAAGAATCCAAATTTATGCAACTGGCATGAGATCAGCACTGACTATAATATATTTAACAGCAGATAGTGGATTTCTATTATAGGGAAAAGCCTAAGACTGATGACATAATCATAACAACAGATGCTAAATATGATTTTAGCTGTGTACATTTAGATATAGGCATCTTTTTATACAGAATTACACCACACAATCTGAATGCTCTATGGTGATGATGAAAAAAATTGACTTCTATTTCATATGCTACACTACAATGCAAAAGAGGTTTATAATAGTTACTTACCAAAGCTGTACACATCTGGGATAATGCATTCAACTTTTGGTAATGCATTTAGTTTTACAATGACACAAGCACATTCCTCAGAATTTCCACTTTTAATTCCAACACTCAAATATTTGTGATCTGGAGAAATTCGGATGCGATGGATTAAGGAATTGTGAAATGGTAGAGCTTCTGCACTAAGTAATGGCTCACTGTTCTTTTCATCTATAATACAAGGGAAAAAAGGATATGGCATCAGCAGAAGATTAACTGAAAGAACTATTTAACATACTGGATTAAGCATACCACAGACCATGACAACATATGCATATGAAAACATATACCATAAAAGCCTACTAATATTTAATACAGTGGGTGAGAAATGCATGGCAGATGTTGTCAGACTGTAGAACCCATCAATCATCACACCTGACCATACTGCTTAAGGTCAATGGAAGTTGCAGCCCAGCAACGTTTGGAAGACCATACATGTCCCACCCTCTTTTTGGATGCAATAAGACCACTCATTTTGCTGCAATCAAGTTATTGTGACTAAATCAACTACCAGTACAATTGAATATATTCACAACCAAATGTGACTATATGCTTTCTGTTTGAATAATTGCTATCTTAGCCTTCATGGAACAAAGCCAAGGAAACTGCTGTACATGTGTGTGTGTGTGTGTGTGTGTATACATATACAATTTGATTAATATCTGTGAGAAGTCTTTCAACTTTTTCATAACTAACTCTGCATTCTCACACATATGCTACTCTCTGCTGCTTAGCTCTCATTTATTAGTACTTCTTCTTTCCCATTTACCTAAACATCCAGACAGCAGAAAATATTATCTCCTGTTCCTGTTATCACCCTGAGGCTTCATAAAAATGCCAGAACAGACAGGGATATTATGATGAATGTTCTGGTTATTAAGATGAATACTACAAGCTTGAATTTTGAAAACTGACATCTCATTTACAAGGGAGTGAAATTCATGGGGAAGGGGATTTCAGCTACTGTATCATCAAACTACAGGTAAAAATTAGTGTTTGGATCCAGAGCAGTGCAAGCAGTGTTCATAGGACCATGGAAATGGAAAGGGGTCCCATGGGCCATTGAGTGCAATGACCTATGGCATCCCTTTGGCTCAATATAGGATCTCCACCTTGAGTATCCCCAGCATAGCAGGGAGTTAGACTGGATGGTCCTTGTGGTCTATTCCAATTCATATGATTCCACTGTTCAACGGAGAAAAAGTTTCGGGCCTGAAAATAGTTGTTCTTTTATGATTTTGGGGTGCTGAAAACGAAAATGACATTTAAAAATGTATATTGGCTCTAGTTTTTATGATATAAGCAATCACGTGATCACGTATGGTTGAAAAAAATGCATGTTGCGACTTACACTATGGAAGATTCTAGAATACTCTAGAAAGTTTGATGACGCAGTATTAGTGCCGTGTGCAAAAGCCAGAAAGCCCTATATAAGGCCAGACTTTTGAACGGTGAGGGTCAGTCAGTTGAAGACTGAGACAGTATCGTTAAACATCGTTTTACATTGTTCTTTTTACTGTAGTTATGCCTCGCACGTGTGTAAATAAAGCACTATGGAAAAAAGATATCAAGGCAAATGGACTCCGTCAATGCTGTCAGACTACTGCTGGAGCATTGTAAGAGACAATCCTTTCCTTGAATACAAAAGAAAAGTCAAGAGAAGCAAACAGGATAAAAACTAAAGTTACGATTAAAGCGACATTTAAACATTCAGACTTTTCAACTGCATTAGGCCTACTAATATAGTTTCTTGTTGCACAAACATAAACAATAGACTAATTAAATAAATATTTCTCATGTATAAACTATTGGCAATATAATTTGACTAAAATTTAGTAAATATTCACGGTTTATATACATGCAGTAAGGTTAGGCGCATTATCATAATATTAACGAATTACCTATTGTGGAGAAAATTGAAATAGCTGTTGCATAAAAACCAGAGCCAATTAACACATTTAATTATTATATTTGAATTCAGCATGTTAAATTTATTAAGAAATGGCACATTTCGTTTCCGAAACGGAGAAAAACTGAAAATTTGTAGAACACTGTTCTTTTTCTATGAGAAAAGACCTCTCTAAGAACCTCTGGGTTCATCTATGATCAACTTCTGCCAGAGAACTTCTTAATCAAATCTGTAAAAGTCAAACCCGCCAATGTAGAAGACCAACTGTATTAGCAGCCAGTTCTACACAGATTTTAATCACTGATACTATAATAACTACTTATTTCAAATATTCCTATGATGTATTTTGTGAACAGAGTTCTTACATAATAGCTTTCACCATAAAATGTCTTCAATGCACAATGATGATGAGGCCACCAAGTATAATAAAGAAAGTAATATTTTGTTTTAACTTGTTCTTACTGTTGATTTTATTTTATTTATTTCCTATATTTATACCCCGCCCTTCTCACCCCCGATGGGGGACTCAGAGCGGTCTCACAAACACCATACGGTGTCATCATAATAAAACAATCAACAATACATTAAAATATTAAAAAATATTAAAACAGTAATTAAAACGATTGATCAACACACACCTTTTGTCTTGTTTATTAAACCTACTTATGATAATACTAAAAATGTAAAAACAATCTTATGACGAGAGAGATAGAGACATTCATACCGATTTCTCCCACTTTTGAACGAAATATGCAGCCATTTTCTTCAAAGTAAACATACTCTCCAAACTTAACCTGATCAAAATCAAAGTAGACATGGATCCAACTTAAATTCGCAAAATTAAGTCATCAGCAGACAATAAGCATTCAAATATATTTTTCTGAAGCACAAATGTAACAAATGGAACACAAGAAGCAAAAACATCATTACGTTACAGAAAACTAATAAGATACATTATTGTGTCAGCTATCAACATTATAAAGTAAAAAGCTCTCTAAGTACTCTTAAAAATAATCAGATGTGGTCACATTCAGCCACATAGGCATCAGACAACATGGCTGTCTTGCATATCATAGAATCATAGAGTTGGAAGAGACCTCATGGGCCATCCAGTCCAACCTCCTGCCAAGAAGCAGGAATATTGCATTCAAAGCACCCCTGACAGATGTCTTGATCTGGCAGGGATAGCCCTGATTAACCCTTTGTCATACTACTTCTTCAATTTTTCTCTCTTCCTTCCAAGATTCCTTTTTGCCCTTGGCTTGCTGCAATTTCTGCTAATTTAGTTCAAAGTAGCTTTATATGACTAATGTTTTAAAACATATAAATGTACAAGGCTGCAAAGCATAAACCGACTCTTTCAGGTATATTGTTTTATTAGTAAGATACTTAGAGAACTTTGAATGCTGGGCCAGTATCTCAGGCTTTTATATGAATTTTTATGACTCAGGGTGGGAAAGCTACTGAGAGACAAAGTAACATAGTGGCAAAGACTGCACTCCTGTACCTGCTTACATGGGAGTAATCCCCACTGAAAGGAATTTCTGAAAGAAATGTATAGGAATGCAGTGGAAGAGATTCAGGACCCTTCCACACAACCATATAACCCAGAAAATCAAGGCATATAACCTACAATATCTGATTTAAACTGGGTGATCTGAGTCCACACTGCTATATAATCCAGTTCAAAGCATATAATGTGGAAGTTAAGTTTACGCAGCTGTGTGGAAGAGGCTTAAAGCCCCTTCTACAGTGCCATATAATCCCAATTATCAAATCAGATAATCCACATTATCTGCTTCGGATTATATGAGTCTACACTGCCATATCCAATTCAAAGCAGATAATTTGGATTTTATATGGCAATGTAGAAGGGGCCTAAGCAACCAATTGGGTTTCTCCAGTTCAAATTCTACTTACTCAATTACTAAGCAAGTTTAGGCAAATTATTCCCTCTGGTGTATGTCAGCCTGTTCAGCTTGTGATTGTGTCTGATGATCATATTGATTTTCATGATGGAAATGAGGGGTGATGTTCATGTTCATGTTGTTTTTCATGATGGGAATGGGGATGATGTGGATGTTTATGTTTCTGAAGGGAATGGGGATGTTAGGTTCTTGTGGGTTTTTTCAGGATATAGGGTCATGTTATAGAGGCATTTTCTCCTGACGTTTCGCCTGCATCTATGGCAAGCATCCTCATAGGTAGTGAGCTTGCCATAGATGCAGGTGAAATGTCAGGAGAAAATGCCTCTAGAACATGGCCCTATAGCCCGAAAAAACCCACAGGAACCTAATGGGGATGTTGATTTGGGTTCTGGGCCAGGATCTGGGGATGAGAAGCCAGAGAGGCCTAAGTTGCTGCAAGAGGATTCTCAAGGCTCCGAGCTGGGAAAGGCTTTCTGCCGCAGTTCCCTAATCAGTTATCTGAGAATGAAGTTAATTTCAAGGTCTCGGGTACAGGAGTTAATGAGGGGAGTGAGACCTTAAATAGGAAAAGATGTTTCAGTAAACAGAGTCAGGCTGTGCCGCAATTAAGACGCTCGTCTAAACTCCAGCAAAAGTTGGCTGTGAAACCGAAACTAAGAAAGAATTTGTTCCTAGCTGTTTTGGAATCAGGGCAGGGCTTATAAGTGATTTGTGGGATATATTGCTTTAGTTGAGGCAATGTCGGATTAACGTCAAGTTTCCAGTGTCAAGGTCTGCCTGGATCATGTTTCTTCAAGTCCCTATGCTTCTGTTCTGTTCATGGATTCGAGTTCCTCGTTTCATGGATTTCTTTGGACTCTTTGTACCTATCTTCTTTTATAACAATTGGATTACTTTTTACTGTGGATTACCTTTTACAGCTTTGGCTTCTTGTATTCTTAAATAAACTGCTTGCTGATTTTACCCAGCTGGTGTGGTGTTTAAAGTCAGAGGTGATTCTGCTCTGGAGTACGACACCCTCTAAGCCACAGTCTTTGCATATACAAAATGGAGGTAATGATGCTTTTTGTAACAAAAAAGAGGTTATGATACACTTGAAGCGCTTTTAAGACTCTGAAGTGTTTTAGAGATGTTAAACATTATCAAATCAAACCTTGTCAGATCAGCCCCTGAATACCGTTCAAATTATTTTTAGGATCAATTTAATGATAACAATCTAGGAAGTTATTAGGCTTTTATAATGCCAAGGCATCTTTAATTAATGTCTAAATCTATTTTCTTCCTTACCACCAGGCTGTGCAAACTGGTTGAGTACTTCTCATAATGAGCTTCTAATCTTTGTTTAATTCTCTCTGTCAAATCTGTGTAATTTGCTGAACAAGCCTTCCAGTTTGCCTGTTCCGACTTCAGAAGATCCTGGTACAAAACAGGGAACAAAAATGTTAAGTACTAATGAGTACAGCATGTAACGTTTCTCTTGTAATATGAAACCACATGAAGCAGAAGTGGCTTGTCTCCAATTTGGCCAAGCATATTCATCTATCAGATGCTAGGCAGGTTCCCCTCTTTTTATTAGTATTTTAACTCCTCAAATTCAGCCCCCATTAGAATGGCCAGCGGCCAAAAAAAGGAACATTTTCAAGCTCTGTTAAGAACATTAACACTGTGGAATAGCTATTTATTTCATGGAAATTTTTTTTAATTAGGATGAATTCTCTTGAATTAAAAACACATTTTTCAGATAAGTATTTCTGTCAGGATTCTGGCAGAATTGAAAAAAACAAACATATTCTCCTACTAGGTTCTTGTGGGTTTTTTCGGGCTATAGGGCCATGTTCTAGAGGCATGTTCTAGAACATGGCCCTATAGCCCGAAAAAACCCACAAGAACCTAGTGATTCCAGCCATGAAAGCCCTCGACAGTATTCTCCTACTTCTTGCAACTCCTATGGTTATAAGGCTGCTCAGACTGGATGTATGCTGCCATATAATGCAGTTTGAATCTGTATTATATGGTCAGTTAAACCCATATAATGTGGTTTAACTGCACTGAACTGCATTATGTGAGTCTACAATGAAGGAATCCCACTGGAGCATTGCAGCGCACCCAAATACCTGGGAGTCACTCTGGATCGTTCTCTGACCTACAAGAAGCACTGCTTGAATATCCAGGAAAAAGTAGGTGTTAGAAACAATATCATACGAAAGCTGACTGGCACAACCTGGGGATCACAACTAGACACAGTGAAGACATCTGCCCTTGCGCTATGCTACTCTACTGCTCTACTACTCTACTGCTCTACTACTCTACTGCTGAGTATGCATGCCCAGTGTGGAACACATCTCACCACACTAAAACAGTGGATGTGGCTCTTAATGAGACATGCTGCATTATCACAGAGTGTCTGCACCCTACACCACTGGAGAAATTACACTGTTTAACCGGTATTCCACCACTTGACATCCGCCGGGAAGTAGCAACCAATAGTGAAAGGACCAAGGCAGTGACATCCCCAGCTCATCCCCTGTTTGGATATCAACCAGCACGTCAATGACTTAAATCAAGAAATAGTTTTCTAAGATCTACAGAGACACTTGCTGGAACACCCCAGCAAGAGAGTCCAAAAGTGGCAGGCTCAAACCCAGAATCTCAATCAATGGCTGATACCAAATGAGACTCCCCCCTGGGCACACAGAAAACTGGGCGATTTGGAAGACGCTGAACAGACTGCACCCTGGCACCACGAGATTCAGAGCCAATCTTAAGAAATGGGGCTACAAAGTGGAATCCACGACATGTGAGTGCGGAGAAGAGCAAACCACAGACCACCTGCTGCAATGCAACCTGAGCCCTGCTACATGCACAATGGAGGACCATCTTGTGGCAACACCAGAGGCACTCCAAGTGGCCAGATACTGGTCAAAGGACATTTAATGAACTACCAAGCTTGCAAACTTTGTGTTTTGTCTGTTTGTTTGTTTGTTTTGGTAAAAATGTAATACAAATGTCTGGTTGCTCCTGACGCAATAAATAAGTCTACAATGACTATATAATGCTGATTCAAACTGAGTAATATGGCAGCATACATCCAGTCTGTGCCTTCCTTCTTCTCCTTCTTGTTGTTGTTATTATCTCTCTATCTATCTATCTCTCTATCTAGCTCTCTATCTACCATATCTATCTGTCTATCATCTCTCTATATAAATGGAAACTCTGATCAAGATTATTTATGGCCTTCTCTAAACTTGTACACAATATCAAAGATGACAGGAGTAATTCAATATGTGTTTGTAAGGTGTACCCTAAAGTAACTGCTTCAAGACAGCAGCAGCATCTGTTGCCAACAGAAGGGAATATATTTGATTTTTTCTTCACGTAGATAAAGAAAACACTGATTCTTTCACCAACAGGGAGGAAAATACCACGAAACATTGTTTGCTAGGGGGATATGGCTGGTTTTCCTTCCCACACCTGGAAACCACTGAACTCCAATGCTTTTTCAATATGGTGTTCACACAGTACTGTGAGTAGTCTAAGCCATAGGTGAACGATGATAATGAAATTACATCCTGTTTGGATTACTGTATCACAGGAGGCTGCCTTTCAAAATTGTCTGGAAACTTCAGTAGGTCTAAATTGCTGTGGCTGGGCTGCTGACCGCAGCTGGTTATAAGGGAACATTAAAGCCAGTGGTTCTAACAACTTCTCTGGCTGCCAATGTGTTTCTAGTCTCAATTCAAAGTATGAGTTATGACCCATCAAGCCCTAAACAGCCTAGACCCAGACTACCTGAAAACCTTGTATTTTCATATAAACCAGATCTTCAAAAGAGAGTTTCTCTTGGAGCACACTAACACTGAAGAACAGGCATGAACAAACTTCGGCCCTCCAGGTTTTTTTGGACTGCAATTCCCACAATTCCTAACAGCCTACTAGCTGTTAGGAATTATAGGAGTTGCAGTCCAAAACACCCGGAGGGCCGAAGTTTGCCCACGCCTGCTGTAGAATGAATGCTATGACCCCGCATTAACTGCCATGGCTCAAAGCTATGGAATCCTGGAAGTTGTAGTTCAGCAAGGAACCAGCACTCTTTGGCAAAAAAGACAAAAGAACATATAAAATTACAACTCCCTTGATTCCATAGCATCAAGGCATTGGAGTTAAAGTAGTATCAAACTGCAATAATTCTATAGTGTAGATGCACCCGATGTCCCATTACCCTCATTTGGTGGGGACATAGTAGAGAGCCGTCCTGGTGGCTACTACTATGTCACAGAACTTTCCCCAAGTCCTCATTGTTCTGTTTGTTAGCAATGACTTTTTCCTTTAAGTAAGTTTTTATTTTTTAAACTGGTTGGCACAGAAAGCAGTGCTTCATTTTTAATATGTGAACTATATTATTAACAATCCTAAATAAATGTTTTAACGGAATTAGTTATTTAATGCTTTAACTTTTTGTCCTATACCTTACTTATGTATTTAATTCATTCTGTGACCAACTTCTAAACTCAAAATGCTCATATCTCAAAGTGAATTTGCAATTGAAATACTATTAATCCGTTCTGCCCCCCCGCCTCCTTTTTGTTACATGTTTTTAAATAAGAAAATATACTTTAGAAATAACAAATAATGTATACATGCACATTCAAATGCAACAATAAAAAAGAAAGATCAGCTTCAAAATGATAGGAGCACAAAGTTGTGGCAAGGAACCAAAAAGGACAAAGTGAAGCAGCAGAAGCATCATTTTCTTCACACTGTACTCATTCCAGCCTCCTTCCCTCTCTTGCTCTCTCCCCCCCTCTCTTTTGATGAAGCCAAGTATACCAGGAATAAAAACCACACAAAATCAATTAATCAAAGTTCCTCAAAGCAGACACGAGCAAAGCAGACAGAAATCTCTGAAAGTGGACAAGAGCACGAGGCACGGATGGTGCTCCCTTGAAGCCCTAAAGGCCTGTACTCTCACAGTAGCACTTCCTTTGGCACTAGCTCTTGACTCAAAATGCTGTTCTTAAGTCAAAGTGAAAGCTGGGATGAGTGGCACCTCTGAGCTCAAAATGCTCTTAACTTGAGACACTCTTAAGTAGAGGTTCTACTGTACATTGTTTTAGCTATTTGGTTTTAACTTATGATGTAAGTGACTTTGAACTACATATGTTGGGGGGGGGGAGAGCAGGATGTAATATTAATGAAACAAATAAAATAATACATTATGTGCAGGTAATGCTATAAGTACATGACATCACTGGTTTGCAGCTTCTAGATCAGTGGTTCTCAACCTGTGGGTCCCCAGGTGTTTTGGTCTACAACTCCCAGAAATCTCAGCCAGTTTACCATCTGTTAGGATTTCTGGGAGTTGAAGGCCAAAGCATCTGGGGACCCACAGGTTGAGAACCACTGTTCTAGATGTAGCCAACCTACCCAGGAAACCCTGTCCAATTTATTAAGAGTTTTGGTAGAGCAGGTAACTGTATTGGGCATGACTTGATTCAGTATTGTTTGCTATCAAACTCCACACAGAATATATGATGCAATGATGACATGGCTAGAGAGTGTGTATCGAGATGCTGCAATGGCACCAAAAAAACTTGCAACATAATATGAAGTGCCTGGCATTGTATTCCCTTCTTATCACTCACAAACTGATTAAACATCAGTTCTCAGATTAGGCATTAATATATGTGGTAATTATCTCAAGAAGAACCTAAATCCTTTCTTGAAAGCATCATAATACATTTCTATTATTTATTTTTTTAGCTGTTTTCTTTTTATAAAATGCAGAAACAGTTTACAATAAAACAAGGCACAATCAAAATAACTGATAACAATGCACTGATAAAGCAATAAGTTACAGGCAGTCCTTGAGTTACAAACATCCAACTGACAAATGACTCATGGTTAAGAACAGGAGTGAAACGACAGGAAGTGAGAGAAATCTACCTCATCGGAATCATAGAATCATAGAGTTGGAAGAGGGCCATCTAGTCTAACCCCCTGCCAAGAAGCAGGAAAATCGCATTCAAAGCACCCCCGAAGGGACATTTGCTCCTGAAAGAGTTATCATGAGGAAAAGTGTTTCCACTGAAGCTTTCTCACCAATGCTTGTTTCCACAACATGCATTTTTTTTCAAAATCCAATTATCACAGGGACAGAAAGTGAGATGAAAACTTCTGAAAAGGGGCACAGAGAGCAAAAAAAAACAAAAAAAAAAACACACACACACACACACCACAAAGGTGTCAACTCTTACCTATGCTATCCAAAGATAAAAAACATATTTTTGGCTGGAGTTACACTTAAAGAATGTACCTGTTCCAACTTGAATGCAAATTCAGCTTAAGAACAAACCTACAGAACCTATCTTGTTCATAACTTGTGGACTGCACTTTATATTAAAATAATTCTACATGTTCCCATCATAATTCCATAGGGTTTAATCAGAAATAAGTGTGTACACTCTCTGTGATTTCTCCTCATCTTTATTTGGACAGAATTCTGTCAAAACCTATATATTGCAGTCTGCATTAGACTTGGTTTCTACAGAGTTTAAAAGCTATCTAATGTGGAATTGTAAATATATCACTAATAATTATCTTCTTCTGCAGCCTGTTACTAAACTTCTAGTGAGTAGTTAGATTTATAAATGAATTGTTATAACAGTATAATGCATTTGGTACAGAAGTAATTAGATATTCAGTCAGAATGGAAGGCGAAGGCTTTAACAGTGTCATAATCCTACAAACATTAGTGAAAACACACTTTCAGTCTTACTAAACTGCTAAACTCAGTGGTTCACTGATATTTGAAAGACAGTAGTTGTATTTTATTATGCAAGGATCAGGATGGTTACTGGCTTGAAATATTTATTCAAACAGGTTTACCTTATAGGAAAAGAATCTCCTGGGCTGAATGCCTCCTCGGAAACCAGGAACAATATAAGTATTTCTAAAGCACTTTGAAAACCAACACACATGTAGTTCTCTTTGACAAAAAGGTCTTTGAACTGGAGAGAAGAAACATTTGGGGAAGTTGTTGACAATACTTGTCTTCAGAACACAAAGAAAATATTTCGTTCTAAAATGCATGATGACAAAATATTCCTTTTCCTTGATTCTTCATTCTTATTTCCATGATTCGGTGAGTTCAAGGTGGTGTCAGGCACAATTCACATAGATGCCACAACATAGCAGGGACCGATCGTGTTTTCTTTTCCTGCCATTCAGTCTTCAAATCCACAGGAATCAGAGTGGAACTGTTGGGACAAAAGGACACAATGGCAAAGAAACTAGAAGCATATTTGAAATTTCTATATTGTTTATTAAGCTGGACCAATCTTTTTTGTGAGCCCCCGGTGGCGCAGTGGGTTAAAGTGCTGAGACGCTGAACTTGCAGACCGAAAGGTTGCAGGTTTGAATCTGGAGAGCGGCATGAGCTCCCGCTGTTAGCCCCAGCTTCTGCCAACCTAGCAGTTCAAAAACATGCAAATGTGAGTAGATCAATAGGTACCAGTCCGGTGGGAGGTAACGGCGCTCCATGCAGTCATGCCGGCCACATGACCTTGGAGTTGTCTATGGACAACACTGGCTCTTCAGCTTAGAAATGGAGATGAGCACCACCAGCTCCCAGAGTCGGACACGACTGGACTTAATGTCAGGGGAAAACCTTTACCTAATCTCTTTTGTGTTGCTCCTAAAGAGGCGACAGTGCAATCCTTTGTCTTGGCAAGGTCATGTGACCTGAAGAAGCCATGAGAGTATACCCTCCATCCATTTCAGTTTGGTAGAGGTACGGGGAAAGGGAAAAAATAAGAGGAGTGTAGAGTTAGTGTTCTGTCTTCCAATGAAATTTTCCTTAAGTCTCAAAATTTCTAATATGGCAGAGACACTAAATATTGTTCAAACCTAGGGTTATCATATTTGCTTTGTTTGCATTCTTTTGGTACTTTTGCATTACAGGCCAAAACCTAAGTTATTACAATGTAAGAAATGCGGGGACTGAATGAAAAGGGGGGGGGGGGAGAAGGTCTTATTTAGGAGGTGAATGCCCTCACTTCTGGTCCTCCCGTAGCTATGTTTCTCCTCAACCAATCTCTACTTACATACGAATATGGAACTGCTACTTGCCAAAATACAGTGGGCCCTTGGTATCCACTTAGGTTTGGTTCCAGGACACTTGTGGATACCAAAATCCATGGATACTCAAGTTCCATTACATACAAAAATGTAATAAAATGGCATGATGGCTTGCTTTTTTGGATTAAAAATATTTTAAACCAAGGATGTAACAATACAATCATTGTATTGTTTCTAGAACTGTTTGAGTTTCATTAAGAAAAAAGCATATAAATAATAGTCTTGTGTATTTGTATAGAATCACAACCTGTTTCTATTTGTTTCATTCGTAACGCCTTGTTTTCGTGTCTTTCCCGAAAATGGATGCCTTTCCAAATGAGCATTTTTGTCCAAGGTCTGAAAAAATGAATATTTTCGTTCCATTGGCGGCAATGGGTGGGCTTCCTACACTCCCCTTCCCCAAAGTTTTAAGGCTAGTGCTTAGCACTTGGCTGCAGGCCCTGGAGCTTTGGGCCTGCTCGCCACACCTTAGAAAAAGAGTGCTATGTGTGGCGACATGGGCAGCTCAACCCATTACGGAAAGTAAGCATTTGCAGTATAGTTGATTTTGCCCAGGGGCGCTCTTGGGGGAAAATAGACCTTGACATATGCGAGTTGTAGTTACTGGGATGTATAGTTCACCTACAATCAAAGAGCATTCTGAACTCCACCAATGGTAATTGAACCAAATATGGCACACAGAACTCCCACAACGAACAGAAAATATATATCAGTGATTGGTTGGGGGGGGGGGGGGAAATACTGTTTGCTTACCCTTGAAAATTACCTAGGGCCGCCTCTGTGTGGCAAGCAGGCCCAAAGCCCCCCATGCCTGCCAGGGCCTACAGCCGAGAGCCAAAAATCAGCTGACTGGGCACTTACCGTTCTCACTTTCCTTTCCTTTCACTAATATTTCTGTACCGAAGGAGAGTGTACTGTTTCATGCCTTTTGAACGAACAAAATGGTATGAACACACGGATAAAACAGTAACCAGGCCCATGACTAATAGCAACAATAACCATGATGGTGTTTGAATCTGTGGACACAGAATCAGTGGATACAGGGGGCTAACTGTACATTGTGGAAAGACGCACATTCATATTATGTCATATATCAGCTTATATAATTAATCGTAATGCAGTTCTGTTTATTACGTCACAAGCAGACAAACCTAAAGCAGTAACACATTTATGTACTTGCATGAAACATCTAACCCAGTGTTTCTCAACCTGGGTTTCAGGACCCCTGGGGGGGGGGTCAGAGGGGTCGCCAAAGACCATCAGAAAACACAGTATTTTCTGTTGACTGGGAGGTTCTGTATGGGAAGTTTGGTTCAGAATTCTCTTTGATTGTAGGTGGACTATAAATCCCAGCAATTACAACTCCCAAATGTCATGTCTATTTTCTCCAAACTCCACCAGTGTTCACATTTGGGCATACTGAGTATTCGTGCAAAGCTTTGTCCTGATCCATCATTGTTTGAGTCCACAGTGCTGTCTAGATGTAGGTGAACTGCAACTCCAAAACTCAAGGTCAATGCCCACCAAACTCATCCAGTATTTTCTGTTGGTCATGTGGTTTCCGTGTGCCAAGTTTGGTTCAATTCCATCATTGGTGGAGTTCAGGATGCTCCCAAATGACAAAATCAACTCCACTCTAACCCTAGCAGTATTTAAATTTGGGCGTATCGGGTTTTTGTGCACAATTTGGTCCAATGAATGAAAATACATCCTGCATATCAGATATTTACATTACGATTCAGAACAGTAGCAAAATTACAGTTATGAAGTAGGAACGGAAATAATTTTAAGTCGCAGCATTAGGACGTTTGAGAAACACTGCTCTAACCAAATGAATGGAGTTACTGTTTCGAAATAATGAATATTTTGGACCTCGTGGCTAACAAGAGTTTCAGTCATGACTGTTCTCTCGCCGCTGGGCCTATAGCTAGTTGACTTTAGATATAGGATGTGTAACCTTTACCCAGCGGGAAGCCAGGAGCCCTAGAAAACGTTCTCAGAGGCTTCATTTACAAAAGGAATCTTCAAATGGCTTAAAAGGTACAACAAAGTCTTTTATTAATGAATCAAACAGGAATTGTAAAGCTTTCTTGGTAAAGTATCAGTTCTATCAAACTTGTCCACAGGGAACAGGCACTATCTTCAATAACGTTCTTCTTTACTTTAAAGGAAAATTCCCCTTTTTAACTTCTCCCAAGGCTAACTAAAATCCAACCCTCACTGGTGTGGGCTCCTCTTCCAGGCCGAACTGCTTCTCGAAACACTGAGAGGACCTACCAGACAGGCAATGGATGTTCTTTAGAGTTTAAGGCTGTCTTCCTGGAAACTCCCAAGGCTGTAAGAAGGAATCCCTGGAGTTCTTAGGAGACCCTTAAAGCTGTGGGAATGCTTTCCTTGGAGCTCTTAAAGGTTGAAGCCTTTGTACAGGGAAAGTAAGCACATTCTATACATCGGCCAACCTTGCTGTGACAGATTGGAAAAGGCTCCCTTCCCTCCAAAGCCTAGAAAGGGGGTGGAACCAGGGAACCCAATGATAATTGACAGGTGGCTTGCCCTATGAATGCAGTCAAAAGAAGCCACCTATCTGCAGAGTCCCTGAAACTTAGAACTATAAACAAACACTCAGTGCAAAGCACAAAATTGGAGCTCCTGGAACAACTGTTCCAGAACAATGACATGAAAAAGTTCATTAAAACTTTTCTCACAGATTTAGTGCAGTTTTCTTTCTCTGAAAACAGTCCTCTAGCTGTCTATTTTGAAGTAGGATCCATTGAGGTCAACAGGGTTTATTCCCAGAGAAGTGCATTTAGGATTATAACAAGATTATTTACAGGGGCACATTAGGGTTGCATCTACACCAGGAATGGGCAAACTTAAGCGGCTGAGGGGGGAAAGGAAAGGGCCTGAGGCTGTTAGGAATGGTGGGAGTCAAAGTCCAAACACCCAAAGGGCCCAAGTGTGCCCATGACGATATACACTGTAGAATTAATGCTGTTTGATATACTACTTGAACTGCCATGCCTCAATGCTATGGAATCCATGGAAGTTGTAGCTTAGCCCTCTCTTGCAAAGAGTCCTGGTGCCTGACTATACCACAGTTCCCAGGATCCCACAGCAACGAACCACGGCAGATAAAGTGACTTAAAACTGCATTAATTTTACAGTGAAGATGCACCATAGGAGCAAACCACGTTCATTGTAATGGCACTGAAGTCTGTGGATGGTTACCATTAGCTCCAAAAACTCCATTGGCAGTTACTGTGTATACATTTCCAATGCTGATCACTTTCAATAAACAATGGCATTCATTTCCTACGCGTCCCAGGGAGAATCTGGCTCAAATTTTGGTCAAATTTCGGTAGAGTTTGCTCTGTACTTCAGAGCAGAAGCACTAACCATTTCTAGTCATGGCATTTTATTAATGAGATCAGTAACACCAGAGCACCAGGATCCACTATTTACCTTCTGCATTCCCTGCAAGTCAAAACGTAACAAACCCGAGTCTCAGCGAATGCGGCTGAAGCTGAGAATCTGTTGAGCCCTGACATGCAGCAGCATGGCGAGTCCGGCAATAATGACGTCAAGTCTAGGCGACGAAACCCTTCCGCTGCCCTCAAGCCGTACGCTTGCTATAGACGCCCACAACAAAGATGGAAGCGGCAGACGGGTCTTCGAAGTCATCAGCTTGCCCACAACCAAGATGGAGGCCGACCTCTATTAGCTCTCCGCGTTCTTTTCGCTGCCCGTAGTTATGATGAAGACAGATCGGAGCTTACAGTCGCCATCTTGGTTTTGGGCACCAGACGTCTTGTTTATCTCTAAAGAAGCCCCGCCTCCTTGAAGTTTACTTCAAAACTTTTCGGGTGTTTTAAGGCGACATTTATCCCTTTAACTGTCTTTTTTGAGAGGGAAAGATTATTATTATTATTATTATTATTATTATTATTATTATTATTATGGGAATGAAGATTAATATCGCTGTGCAGAAATTAATGCAGAAAGTCATTTTTTTCATAATTTGTAATATTTGCATATATATTATGAGATATCTTGGTGGTGGGACCCATGTCTAAACATGAAATGAATTGATACTTCATATATATATATATGAACTTCATATATATATACACACACACAAACAATTCATATATATACACACAAACTTTATTCCCTATACAAAATTATTATATATATATACACACACAATTGTAATAATATTGTATATGGAATAAAGTTTGTGTTTATATATATGAATTATTCCATATACAAAATTATTACAATATACATATCTGTATCTTTACACACACACACAGACACAATTGTAATAATTTTGTACTGCATATGTAATAAAGTTTGTAAACATCGAACCATTAAAAAGCAAGGGTATCACTGTCTTAGTCACTCATAAGGACAATTTCAGATTATTTAGATCTGATAAATAAATATAGTCAAATTCTCCATATATCAGTTAATATATTTGTTTTGTTTCTTATTTTTAATCAAATGAATCACATTTAGTAGACCCCAACTCTTGCATTTTTTTAAAGGAATCTCTTTAGTTAAGTCTCATGTAATAAAGATTAGAGAACTCTTATCGGTACTATATATAATTGAAGTATTTAGCAGCATGAAAAACAACTGAACCAAATAAAAACCCTAATCCGGGGCAGCAGTTCCCAAACCCCAGGGTTCTGTGAAAAATCTTAAAAATCAAATTTAAAACGGATTTAAAAGTAAAACCACATGACGCCAACTATTTAATTTACAGTCTCTGAAATAGCCTTGTATTTTGCACTACAACTTGCTATCAGGTATGTACAGGCTTCACATCACAACATATTTTATGTCCCCTGAACAAGTGTGTGTATGCATATGTACACACACATACACATCTCAGTGTATATATATGTATATATAGTTCATTGTATTATGGTGTTTCTTCCTTCAGTGAGAATTAATATTAAATTAATAAATAGATTAAAAAAATAAAGTGAGGTGAAATCTTCTGAATAGGGGCACAGACAGCAAAATTAACACCACAGAGATATTAACCCTTCTCTAAGCTATCCAAAGCATATATAATATAATATAATATAATATAATATACACACGTGCACACACACAACTTGCTGTTGTTGTTCATTCGTTCAGTCGTCTCCGACTCTTCGTGACCTCATGGGCCAGCCCACGCCAGAGCTCCCTGTCGGCCGTTACCACCCCCAGCTCCCTCAAGGTCAGTCCAGTCACTTCAAGGATGCCATCCATCCATCTTGCCCTTGGTACACAACTTGCTATTTAATACTATTTTTACTATTACTTATATGTTACTAATATATATAATAACACATTTTACTAATATATATAAAAGAGTATATAATGTTATATAAAAGTAAAAATATAACTATTTGTATATAACATATAACTATTTTTATATATAACTATATATATAATGTGTGCGTGTATATATATATATATATATATATATATATATATAGTAAAATAGTATTATATATATTCATATAATAGTAATATATATATACACACACACACAGATACACATACACACATGCTTTGGACATATTACTATTTTTTACTAAAGGAAAAAACATCATAATACAACATATATATTTATATATATATATATGTGTGTGTGTGTGTGTGTGTGTATGTATATGCATATGTATATGTATAGAGAGAGAGGACAGTTATCTATATATATAACTAGCCGTCCCCTGCCCTGTGTTGCTGTGGCCCAGTCTGTGTATATGTGTTTTGTGTGTGTAGGGTAAAGGTAAAGGTTTTCCCCTGACATTAAGTCCAGTCGTGTCCAACTCTGGGGGGTGGTGCTCATCTCCATTTCTAAGCTGAACTCCAAGGTCATGTGGCTGGCATGACTGCATGGAGCAGTACCTATTGATCTACTCACATTTGCATGTTTTTGCGTATATATATGTGGTTTTGTGCATGCATTGTAATTTTTTATTTTTTGACTTTTTAAGTCCCTTTTGTTGTGTTTTTCAGTGTTTTTATGAGTGATGGTCACTCATTGAGTTGTTAGGTGTATCGTGTCCAAATTTGGTCCAGTGGTTTTTGAGTTATGTTACTCCCACAAACAACCATTACATTTCTATTTATATAGATGTATACAGTAAAATAGTATTATATATGTTTATTTAATTTTTATTGAAAGGAAAAAAAAACATTGTAAAATAACCGATCTCTCTCTCTCTCTCTCTATATATATATGTTATATTATGATTTTTTTTCCTTCAGTAAAAAATAGTAATATGTCCAAAGCATGTGTGTGTTTGTGTATACACACACACACATGCTTTGGACATATTACTATTTTTTACTGAAGGAAAAAAAATCATAATATAACATATATATATAGAGAGAGAGAGATCGGTTATATTACAATGATTTTTTCCTTTCAATAAAAATAGTGTTAAAATTAATAAATAAATAGATTTAAAACAACAACAACAACAACAACAGGGCAATGGAAGTGGCATATAAGAACAGCCTGATGTAGGCCACAGCTCAGCACTCAAGCCTACTGGCGGCTTCCAGTTGCCATGGCAACCTCCAATGGAATCATGGGAGTTGCAGTTCAAGCGGAGTGCTCCGAGCACTCAGCCAGAGGACTCTTGGGCCTCACTGAACTACAAGCCCCAGAATGCCTCGGAACGTTCCTAGCGCCATACCAGTTTATCAGGCGCCTAGGTCTCGATGGCAGTCACTCTCGCCGAGGAGGGAAGTAGCTGCTCGCTTCTCTCTTCCTCCTCAGCTTCATTTTGATTTGATTCTTGGCGGGCTGAGGCGGAGGAAGGGGCGCCCTCGGCATGACTGCAGAGCCAGCCCCGAGCAGCCTTTCCCCTTCTCCTTCTTCTCCTTCTTCGCCTGGCAGGGAAGCAGGCCAGCGGGCGGCCAGAGCCAAAGCCCGGTGGAAGCTGCTCAGACAGGTAGTATTCCGCCTTTTTGGTGTGTCAACAAGCGCTCCAGTAGTTTCATTCTACACCAGGCCTGGGCAAACTTGGGCTCTCTAGGTGTTTTGGACTTCAACTCCCACAATTCCTAACAGCCCATGTGGGTTGTTAGGAATTGTGGGAGTTGAAGTCCAAAACACCTAGAGAGCCCACGTTTGCCCAGGCCTGGTATAGATGTTGTATATTGTACCTTTGAGATGAAGTGGGTAAGAAATAAAAGTTATTACTACTATTATTATTGCCTTCACAATATATTATTACATCATATTGTGGCTTGTATTAAATACACAGATTTTTCCCTAGGTTGCATTGACATTAACACAGTTTGACACCCCTCGAACTGCCATGGCTCACTGCTGAGATTTGTAGTTCAGTGAAGCACCAGGACTCTTTGGCAGAGAAAGCTAAAAGCTTCATAAAACAACTCTCCTGATCCCATAGGATTGAGCCATGGCTATTATTTATTATTTATTATTATTTGCTTAGTCTCGATAAAATAGGAAAGAGTAGAGACATCAGACTGGCAACAAAGATCCGCCTAGTCAAAGCCATGGTATTCCCTGTAGTCACCTACGGATGTGAGAGCTGGACCTTAGGGAAGGCTGAGCCAAGGAAGAGAGATGCTTTTGAGCTGTGGTGTTGGAGGAAAGTGCTGAGAGTGCCTTGGACTGCGAGAAGATCCAACCAGTCCATCCTCCAGGAAAGAAAGCCCGACTGCTCACTGGAGGGAAGGAGACTAGAGACAAAGTTGAAGTACTTTGGCCACATCATGAGGAGACAGGAAAGCCTAGAGAAGACAATGATGCTGGGGAAAGTGGAAGGCAAAAGGAAGAGGGGCCGACCAAGGGCAAGATGGATGGATGGCATCCTTGAAGTGACTGGACTGACCTTGAAGGAGCTGGGGGTGGTGACGGCCGACAGGGAGCTCTGGCGTGGACTGGTCCATGAGGTCACGAAGAGTCGGAGACGACTGAACGAATGAACAACAAATTATTTGCTTATTTATTTATTATTATTATTTATTTAATAACCATATTTATATATCGCCTTTATCAGCCCAAAGGATTGAGCCATTGCTATTATTTATTATTTGCTTATTTATTTATTTTGCTTATTTATTTTGCTTATTTATTTTGCTTATTTATTTATTATTATTTATTTAATAACCATATTTATATACCGCCTTTCTCAGCCCAAAGGTGACTCAGGGCTGTTTACAGACGGCACAATTTGATGCCTACAATAACAAAGAACCATTAAAACATTTATATATAAATAAAAATGTAATGTTCGTTTGTGGGATTAACAGAACTCAAAAACCACTGGACGAATTGACACCAAATTTGGACACAAGACACCTAACAACACAATGTATGTCCTTCACTAAAAAAAATATGATTTTGTCATTTGGGAGTTGTAGTTGCTGGGATTTATAGCTCACCTACAATCAAAAGAGCATTCTGAACTCCACCAACAATAGAATTGGGCCAAACTTGGCTCACAGTTCTCCTATGACCCAACAGAAAATACTGGAAGGTTTCTGGAGGGCAGTGTCCTTTGGTTTTGGAGTTGTAGTTCACCGACATCCAGAGATCACTGTGGACTCAAACAATGATGGATCTGGATCAAACTCTACACGAATACTCAATATGCCCAAATGTGAACACTGGTGGAGTTTGGGGAAAATAGAATCTTGATATTTGGGAGTTGTAGTTGCTGGGATTTATAGTTCACCTACAATCACAGAGCATTCTGAACCCCACCAATGATAGAATTGGGCCAAACCTCTTAACAACAACAATAATAACAATATCCTGCTTTCCTGTCTTAAGTAAGGCATAGGTCTCTTCTACACAACTATATAAATCCAGAATATCTGCTTTGAACTGGATTATCTGGCAGTGTGGACTCAGGGCCCTTTCAGGCTCCTTCCACACAGCTGAATAAAATCCCACATTATCTTTGAATTGGATTATATGGCACTGTGGACTCAGATATTCCAGTTCAAAGCAGATATTGTGCGCTATTCTGCCTTAATATTATGGGTTATATGGCTGTGTGGAAGGGCCCATAGACAGGCCCTATATTCCAGGATATGATCCCAGGTTTTCTGTTTATCTCAAATTAACTAGCAATGCAGACTCAGGGGCCTTGGAGAGGTGTTATCTCAAGTAAAAAAAATTAGTATTTTTTATTTATGATCTTTCCACTTTTATGGCAGCCCTGCACTTCTCACCCCAGTGAATGTGGAGGGCTGACTTCAGTTGAATAAGGAATTTAGTGTTAGATTTCCCCTTCTTCATCTATGCATTTGACCACTTTTGGCTCCATAGAGTGGTAGGTTTAAATCCAAATCACTGGCCTGCAATGAAAAACCATTTTTCGGTATTGTAACTGTTTTTAAATATACTGAATTCAAAGCACACACACAAAAAAATATCATACCACACTCAGTTTTTTCACAAATTTCATTAGTAATCACAAAATTAATTTAGTTCTGCCACATCTTACAATGTAGGCATGTTAAAGCAAAGTGTGAAAAAGTTTTATTTGATGAAGTAAATCTCAGTTCATTTTTGGATTTACAGTGCCAAATTCCTATAGAACTGGTGTGTGTATGTGTGTGTGTGTATGATTTTTTTATGACTTTTAGTTTTGAATGATTCAGTGGGATTTATATAAGCAACTCTTTGAGTGACAAGTTCTGTTGATTCAATAAAAGCACTGAAACTGACAATTGGATATGGACTGTAGTTTGTTGAAGTGCGGTAGTATAGCTCTTTTCATAATCTTGCTGTTTTCATTGTGTTAAGTTCCTTCCTCACAGCTGAATAAAATTCCACAATATCTGCTTTAAACTGGAATATAGGGCAGTGTGGACTCAGAGCCTTTCTACACAGCCATATAACCAAGAATATCAAGGCAGAAAATCTCACAATCTCTGCTTTGAACTGGGTTATTTGAATCCACACTGCAGATAATGTGGGATTTTATTCAGCTGCATGGAAGGGAACTTAGTCTTGTGTTATGGATGCAGCATGGGTTGCTGTAAACCAGTGGTTCTCAACCTGGGGTCCCCAGATGTTTTTGGCCTTCAACTCCCAGAAATCCTAACATCTGGCAAACTGGCTGGGATTTCTGGGAGTTGTAGGCCAAAAACATCTGGGGACCCCAGGTTGAGGAGCACTGCTGTAAACCCTTGGAGCCAAATGCCATGTGCCTTTATTCTGTACTGTCTTTTGAGCCATATTGCTAGTTCCTAAATTTAATTGTACTAGTATAAAGTTTAGGAACTATTGTGCTTAAGTATGCAAAGATATAGAATGGAGGACTCCTGGCTCGAGAGCAGTACACGTGAAAAACATCTTGGTGTCCTCATGGACAACAAATTAAACTTGAGCCAGCAATGTGATGGTGCAGCTAAAAAAGCCAATGGGATTTTGGCCTGTATAAATAGGAGTATAGTGTATAGATCCAGGGAAGTCATGCTACCCCCCTATTCTGCCTTGGTTAGACCACATCTGAAATACTATGTCCAATTCTGGGCACCGCAATTGAAGAGAGATGTTGACAAGCTGGAATGTGTCCAGAGGAGGGCGACTAAAATGATCAAGGGTCTGGAGAACAAACCCTATGAGGAGCAGCTTAAAGAGCCGGGCATGTTTAGCCTGCAGAAGAGAAGTCTAAGAGGAGACATGATAACCATGTATAAAATATGTGAGGGGAAGTCATAGGGAGGAGGGAGCAAGCTTGTTTTCTGCTGTCCTGGAGGCTAGGAATGCAGAGCAATGGCTTCAAACTACAGGAAAGGAGATTCTACCTGAACATTAGGAAGAACTTTCTGACTGTGAGAGCTGTTCAGCAGTGGAACTCTCTACCATAAAGTGTGGTGGAGGCTCCTTCTATGGAGGCTTTTAAACAGAAGCTGGTGGCCATCTGTTGGGGGTGCTTTGAACACAATTGTCCTGCTTCTTGGCAGGGGGTTGGACTGGATGGCCCACGAGGTCTCTTCCAACTCTATGATTCTAAGTAAAATGAGACATGATTGTATGCCATCTTTTAAAGTGCATGATGAGGAAAATGGCTAGCGCTCTTAAAATGGGATCATATTATATTAGTCATCCTGCAGATTTAGCTATTTAAAGAAAAAAAAACCCCAAATCAACCCTTCTTGTGGTAGACTGACATTTCCCCCCAATGTACAAGGAACTGGCATCATATTTGTGCCCATTAGCTAAAACTGTCAACTTGCCATGGACATGCAGCCCATAGACTGGCATTGGTCCGTGGACCACCACTTTGATAGCAAGACTCTGTATTAGGTTCCCTCTGAAACGTTTTTGGAAATTACAGCCAGTGTAAAATGTAGTAGTCAGTTATTGTCTGGACTGTACTATAAAGTGTTGAAATGACTGCAAAGTTTTCCAATATTTTTGGAGCTTAATTAATGTTGTTGGTTTTAAACTAAAGCTCTAAATGTAGCAACAATACTAAATCAACTGCAGTGATTTTCCGTTTTTTTAAGCCCAATTAAAGGTGTCAGTTTTAGTGTAAAGCTCTAACTGGCTTGTGGAGAAGGCATTTGAAATACCACCTTTTGAAAGACTTCCCACCATTGACTACATTAGACAGGCACGTTTTTGTAGCAATACTCCAGTTACAGATGTTATTTCAAACAGTTGCAGGCTAATAGGTTATTGATAACAGGTTGACTTGAAGGTCTCCCATTCATAAGGTTGCCACAACTCAAAGTTGATTTGATGGTAATTAACAACAACAACATCGTCTGTTCCACCCCTACTGAATGTAGGAGTAAAAATGTATTTTTTCACCATGGCTTTAAAAATGAACTGTTTTTTTTTTAATGTCTTGGAGGTCTATGTTTCATTTTGTTGTATCTCAAGAAATAGGAAAATGACACAAACAAACAAATAGTATACTATCATAATTTTCCACTATCAGTGGGTATCTTATGTAGAATTCTCCAAAAGTGAATTGGCATTGTTGTCCAACTAATATTTTCAAAATGAGCACTCACCAATGTTTTTTTAAAAGTTTTCAAAAACAAAACTCAGTAGAACGAATGTTTGGGAAATGCTATAGGATTGTCACTGTAATGTACACAAAATGTATTCAAATGTGGACAGGGACATTGAGGTGCCTGCAACTAGCTCAGGAATGATAGCTTATCACTTGCAAAGAGTTAAATAGTAAGAATTTATAAACAGCGAATGCTCATTTTGTTAATATAATCAGACTGCAAATCCTTGATTTTGATTGTACAAGACTAAGAATATAAAATCTTGTCAATAAAAGGATTGACTGTTGAACTGATAAGAGTGAACATCAAGCACCACAGCATTTCAAGGTTTATAGTGTGCGTCCTGAATGTCTGCTGGTTGTTGATATAGACCAAATCTGATCCAGATATGTTGTGTCTTCTTGCTTTGTGTACTCTCTGCATAAGTGTATTATAGCAAATAATATTGCTGTTTGATTGTTGGGGTCTTCAGAACACACTACAATAGCTTTCCCTGAGATTTGACATGATAAGTAGTTATTGTAGCATTTTTCATCCTTGGTTTCTTTTTCTTTCCTGTACAGCTTGTAGCAGTGAAGGTACTTTTGCATGTTTTTTTTAAAAATACACACCAGTTGGACTGTTACCCATTCTCAATCTGTATCTTCATACACATGTCCATACATATCCATTTAATTCTTTTGCTTGAGTCCCCACTCCAGTCTTCCCCAACTTGATGCCTTCCAGATATTTTGGATTTATGGTTTCTATCCATTCCACATATGTGATATAGGAATGACCCCGAATTGTAGTCTTGTACTTCTGGAGGGCACCAGGTTTGGGAAATCTGTGGGACAAACTGTCATCCTCACAGTGCGCACCACATAGTATGCACAGACCAGGTGCCAAGTCTTTCATTTTCATATAGTTTGAACCGTTAGAAGCTGCCTTCAGTCCAGATGAGGATATTGTTTGCTTACAGCCCTATATATAGCACACTGTAGTATTTGAACATGGACTTTATTAATTTATAAACTACTGTGGCCACGTTATTACCGTCTATAAAATACTTTAGGTGATGGGTCATAAAAATACCAGACAATGGAATCCACCTGGGTTTCCAGTTGGATCCAGGAACAGTCTTAAGTTATCTGCTCCTGCATCTCATCAAAGAGAAGTCACTCTGTTTCCAAGTAGAGCTGGATGCCATCGATATACCATGACCTCACTAATGGCTTTATATCAATATTAAATAACATGGAAATAATATGGAGAGTACCAGGCTGAGGAAATTTATGGGATAGATTATGGCACCACACAGCTAAATAATCATGAGAGGCATAGATATCACCAGTCAGCCTACTCTGGATCTTACCATTTAAGGGGGGGGGGGGCAAGGCTAAAGCTTAGGTATGGTGAATAGACTGAATCAAGTCTCTTGCCCCATCATAATAAATAATAAAACTATTTATAGATCACCCTCTCTCCCCAAGGGGGGGACATCATCAGGTCACCAGAACTGAAACTGAAACTTAACTAGAGAGAACACTTTTCCAGATACTGAGATACCTGTAGAATCAGGTTCTGAGCAAATATCAGTTACTTCATCCGTTATATTTCATCCTATTTAATTTCACTGTCATTCCACCATTTTTATTTGTTCTGGATGTTTGGGTGGAACATGATTTATTTTGCATGCAAACCCTCCTTTGGATATGGTATATTTGCATATCACACCTTACAATGTAATTCGTATGGGTAAAAAAATGCGTCACAGCTTACAGAATGCAAATTTTAAAAAATTGAGGTGTTAGTCATGTTACTACCCAGATATTTTTTCACTGCAATTCCCAGCATTCCAAACCATTTGTTTTGTTGGCTATGGTTGTTGGGCCACAATTCCCATTCCCCTCTAGTGCATGAGAGTTGTCCTCCAGTTTTGGGGATGGGTCACTCTGGTTCAATCTGCTAAATACTGTTATCAAAGTATCAGTATTATAACTATATTCTCACTTGTATTGACATTTCAGTAAATTAGACATAGAAAATGTCCACATTACTTCTGTACTTTTCTCTCTCTCTAATGAGATGATGAACTAGGATTATATTTTTCTCTTGTCTATTTTTTATGAGGTTGAAAGTTAAAACTTTTTTGGAGACTCCTTTTAAATAACTGTTAGTTTTAAAGAAGAGGGCTTACATGCAATATTTTCTATCTTACCTTGAATTCACAAAACATAAAGCTAGATCAGTCACAGCACTGTTGCTGTTAGGTGCAAATGTTTAGAAGCAAAATGCTCATGCATAAATTAAAAGCTGAATTTTGTGCAAGTGCACTTTGGAGTCTAATGAGGCTAGTATGTCCAACTCTTCAAAATATTATGGTATTGAAGACTGAAGCTGAATCCTCGTCCTATATGTTGTACCTACATCTATATGTACTTAAGTGGCTTTAGTGGCTTCTGCAGTTCTTATTCAATGATGGTAGAGATTGTAAACGTTTTATATACTGCAACCAGAGCCAATGCAAAATTATTACTGGACTTTTTGTTCACTGAGCTATTTAAAAGGATGCTGATACTCGTTTTTGGAAATTAAATTTTTTTTTTTACTATTTCTGAAGGAATAGGGATAGATGAGTTGAAGTATAAAACTTTTTTTAAAAAAATCCTAGAAGTTTTCACTGACTATGCATTTAATTATTAGATATATTGGATTCAGGAAGACAGGGGGGGAAAATCAAGTTTCAAGTGTCTTTTAATATCTATCCCATACAGTTAAGTGAAATGCTTCTCAGCTGAATGTTGATTATTTATTCATTTTCTACAGTTGGGATTATTTAAGAATGTAGGTTATACCTTTGTGAATCAGCTTCTTTCCTTCCTTGCTTCCTTGTTTCCCCCAGCTTCTCTATTTCCTCAGTGACCATTCTCATTTACTTTTCTGGATCATGTGCTTGTTATATTGGTCCCTGGGGCACATTCATTTAGAATGGCTGTATAAGGTAAGTTAGTGATCCTTGAAGTTCACTTAGAGGGCATCATGTAAACAGAGAAGACTGTCTTTCAACCTTTTCAAAGTATTCTCTGAGCCGTTCTTGAATAGGTTTGTCACCTTTTCTTTTGGCCTAGTTTCTAAAATAGCTAAACAGTATTTACCATAGCATTATAAAAACTAGATATAGAAATTATTCCAGGAGATTATTGAAATAGATATGGAATGTTAATGGCTTTTCATATAGTTTATTTGTGTATCATACTAGGTCAAGCTATTATCTCTGGTGTCCTGCTGAATTTTGGATTAAAAAGCTTTCAGTAACTAAATATTTGATTGATGCTATTATTGTAATAGATGGGCAGAAGAATTTTATGATCCTGTTAAAATGGCCATCAATTAGTGGAAGGTGATGCTTTTCATGTTAATGAAGTGATGAATTTGTTTTATGTTTCAGTCTGAATTTTAATAGAGCTCTCCATGGTTCTGGACCCCATCTCCCAAATAAGTCCAGCATTTAGGAGAATGCTTTTAAGTTCAGAACAAAACATGGAATGGATTCAACACTCTGCTGACATGAAAGCTGTCAGTCACCACATTGCTAGGGGGATCTAGAAATTGATAAGGAAATGTTTCAACCAGAAAGGTTGCAAAGGAGACTAAGGGTATATGGATGCTGTAGAATTAATGCATTTTGACAAGACTTTTAACTGCCTTAGCTCAGTGTTATGGAGTCATGGGAGTTACGGTTTTATAAGGCCTTTGGCCTTCTTTACTGAAGAATGCTGGTGCCTCATCAAACTACAAATCCCAGGATACTATAGTATAGATCTATGGCCATTAAAGTGGTGTCAAATTACATTAATTCTACAGTGCAGGTGCGTTTTGGTAAGTTTAGGTCAGATTTGGAATAGATTTTCTTGATATCTCTGTTTTCATCCTAATAACCAAATAGGAATTGATATTCCAACTCTTATTTTCCTACTGAGTTTATAGGGACATATGACAAGGTTTGGATTTATTTATTTCATTTAGCTGCCTCCTTTCTTTCAAAATGAGATGCTCATGAGATAAATCAACCGGGGCTGCCTTATGCCTGTAAAGAGTTCTGACTTTTCAAACCAGCCAATGACAGACACAAAATAATCCTTTTGGCAGATCAGACAGGAAGGCAGACTTACCATCTCAATTGTTCTCTGTACCTCTTTGTTAGGACAGCTGCTCATCAAGTCTGGTGATTTGCCCTACAGAAAAAAAGTTTGATTTTTGATGTAAATGCTACTTACTCCTCATGAAAGACATGCATATGACTACTTTTCTCTGAGGAAAGATACTTTTGAGATACATTATTTAACTATGTTATTACTGTTATGATATAGACATAAGAGTTATGTGAGAAGAGGTGGTCAAAGGGAGTACACAAAACACTTACTCATACATTCCATTGAAAAGGCCTATGAAAACCCAACTTTTTCCTATCTATAATGAAGCTTGAAAGGAATGTTTCTGAGCATAATATGTGTGCATTCACACATGTATGTATGTGTATGGAGGTCAACCTATACATTGTTTACCACATGATTTCCATAATGTGGAAATATTTTGCATAATACAAACACAGATGCCTGCATTTGGGGAATCAGAATATGGTAATCCTAAAATAGAGAGAAACAGAAGCCTGGTGGCTGGTAGAAGTGAGAAGGTTAGAAGAGAGTGCCAGGATGAAGGGGAGGGGAGACCAGCCACAAAGGAAAAGTGTTGCAGTGGGAGAAGAGGACAGAAGTAGAGAAAGGAGGAGGAAAAAGTAATGAGGATGCAGAGGAGTAATCGTTTTTGAAGCTTGTATAGGATGTACACCAGAGTAAAAAGCCACTGAAGGAGCAGAAGAAAAAGGGGGAAAGAAGAAAATCAGGAGGGAATGGGCAGTTAGTTTTGAATCCAGATAAAACTGGGCATTCTTGGAAGTGTTTAGTTTCAGCAGTTTTGCTAGTGCAGCTTGTTCCAATGGAGGAGACAGAATCTAGGCCTGGCTGATAATGAGATGTCAGTTAACCTGATTACTCTTTTATGTCTTCCTTGCCATCTTTCTCTGTCTGCCAGTTTCCTCCCACAATATTGCTTAAACTGACAGAGTTATGACAGTATAACTATGCAATTGTCAATTCTCTGTGATTTCTCTCCACTGTGCTATCATAACTTTGAACTGTGTGGTTGAATGCCTGTAAAATACTTAGTAGCAGTCCTATCCTTGTCCTGCTAATATGAACATGAACCTGCCATGGTCATAGTTTAACACTTTTAATTTTACTGGTATTTTGACAATTGATACTATGAATTAATTTTTAATTAACTCACCTAATGATTTCCCAAATAAGAGCAAGTGGTTTTAGTTGTCTTGTCTGAACTCTATAGCCCCAGGTATCATATCCTGCTGAATCGGGACTTGTAGATGTCTGTTTTCTTTTGACAGTAATTCAAAAACAATTATTTGACAAAAGCCAAAATAGACTTGCATCTGCTGCTATGAAGTTCTGCACAGCAGTTTGGAATAACAGATATATTGTGTGGGGAACTAAAACAACAACAACAACAACAACAACAACAAGAGTTTTAGCAACACATGCTTCAACACATCAAAGCATTTAGCCTATCTCAGGGAGCCTAAAAGGCTTTTCTGCTCAGAGAGCTTCCAAAGGTGTAGATCTCATAACTGAGTCTATCACCATCATTTTATTGTGTACCTTTGATCTAAGAATTGAAAGATGCTTCAATGCCATCTAGTTCAATCTTTGCCAGTACGGGAGCCTACTGCTAAAGTACCCCTGAAAGGTGGCAATCTGCCTTCTGTTTTAAAAACCTCTAACAAAAGAGAGACCACCACCATTTGAGGAAGACCATTCTACTGTTAAGGAGTACTTACAGCCAGGATTTCCCCTAATATTTTGTTGGATTTTCCTTTATTTCACTTTCAGTCCATTAGGTTATTTTTCTATCTTGCATAAATTGTGTTCAGCGGTTTCTATCTGATGAACTGCAAAAGTATAATGGGGAATAAAAGAGAAGCTGATCCATTATGTATGTTGCAGTAATTTATGACAAACATTGTGTCTGAGAAATAGTTGGAGGTGATGTAGATATGGGAATTCTCTCCTGGTGGGAGAAAGATATCATCATCATCATCATCATCATCATCATCATCATCATCATCATCATCTTATATCCCACCTTCTTCCCCGCAGGAACTCAAGGCGGCTAACAGTCACACACTTTGATCAATTTAAAACAAAGCAAAAACAAAAATTTAAAATAATAATTAAACAGTATTGTATGTGTTAGGTTAAAATACAGTTAAATACAATAACTACAATTACATGCATTTTCCAAACCAGGTATAATTCATCATCTGTTGCAGCCAGTTTTTCCTGATTAGATGGAAAGCCCCCAACTAAGCTTGTTACAGTTGTCTGGCATTAAGGTTGCTGCTGTGTGTCTTCTAATTGTTTCTGATTTATGGTGACCCTCAGGTGACCCTATCAGGGGATTTTCTTGCCAAGATTTGTTCAGAAATGGATTGTCTTTGTCTTCTTCTGAGACTGAGTATAATTTGTCCAATGTCACCTAGTGAGTTTTTATGGCCAAGTGGGGATTTGAATTCTGGTCTCCCAGGGTCCTGGTCCAATACCCAAACTACTACAGTAGACTGGTTCTCAGTGTCAAGTTTATAAATACATAAGCAATATTCATCAGATCATGGTTCCCCCGTCCTGTGATTTTGCAGTTTGTTGTATGCATTACAGTTCTGTTCTATGCTGTTACATTTGAATGCCATTTTTATTATTCAAGGTTCTGAAAGAAAAACACTTGGAGAATGTCCACCTTCAGCAAGTATCAGTAAGGAGATTTGCTTCATTCAATCTTTTCTTCAGCACGAAAGAGGACAGAAAGCTATCTGAAGAGGACAATGAGACTTGGGTTCAGTACAAAAGCATCTCTTTTCCTGAGTATAGTATATCTTTAAGGTAAGGTTTATTGTGGTTCTGCAAATGCTTCTGTGCCTGACGTATGTTGCTACCTGATTCCTTTTTTCCACTTTGGCTGTAAATACCATATTTTAAAGTAGTACTACTCACTGCAGATCTCTGGATCTGTTATGGTCTTGACAGGTTTCCAGGAAAGAAACAAACAAGCGTACCTAATGAGCACAAATGTAGGTAGCTTCACTGCCTTGCACACTGAAAAAAATTGGCTGATCCCCCACATCATATAGCCTGGAAATCACTGGCTTAAGGAACTGAGTCCCATGATAAGATATGATAAATTTACTGTAAAACTTAGATTTAGTGTCTCATTTGATGTGCATTTCTATATAGCCTTCAAATGTTCATATAATCGTTGAATGTATCCTTTACATTTATATTAGGTTTGAAGCTGAACTAAAAACAAAGCACATTTAAATACTGATGTGTGAAAAATGTATGTGAAGCTCACGCTTTCTTAGGAATGATTTCTACGGTTTTTGATGGATCTTAAAGTACCAGGTTAGTGTGTGTAGAATTACAGTCAAAGTGTTTTGATATTTCAGAATGGTTTTCTTAGCATTTATGTTATTTAGGGTTTCACACAGGGAGTGGATCAGGATTTTATAGTGATCGGGGAAGGGATAGATTACCCCATGGTAGACACTAGGGTAGGGGTGTCAGACTTGCTTTCATGGAGGGCCACATCAGTCTTATGGTTACTTTCAAAGTGTCATTGAATCAATGGATGGAGAATCCATGTTTACAGAGGGCCAACTATCTTTTTTTTTTACATAGTAGTCTGTGCTGTTTCATTTCCTTCCCAGTTTGAATCCCCAGATGTTATTGAAAAGCAACTCCCATCCCTTTTGATGATCCTACATGCAGACTGGAAATAATGGGATTTGCAATCCAACAGCATTGTGGCTCTGAGGTTGGGGGAAAGGTTAAAGACAGACATGTTTTTTATTTGCTTTAGGTTGTGTATTGTTATGTTATGTTTTGAGGCCTTGGCCTTTGTAAGCCGCATCGAGTCCTTCGGGAGATGCTAGCGGGGTACAAACAAAGTTAATAATAATAATAATAATAATCATTATCATCATCATCATCATCATCATATCCACAAGCCTTGTATCTAAATCCAAACCCCACTATCTTGAACAAACTGAGGCCTTCCAGATGTTACTGTAGCACAGGCATCCTCAAACTGTGATCCTCCATCTGTTTTGGCCTCCAACTCCCAGAAGCACTTGCCAGCTTGTTCATTGGCCAGGAATTCTGATAGTTGGAGGCCCAAACAGTTGGAGGGCTGCAGTTTGAGGATGCCTGCTATAGCACAGTTCCCATCAGCTCTGTACGTGATGTCTAAGGGTGAGGAATATTAGAGTTGCAGTCCAGTATTTGGAGAACCACATAAAATGATATGGAGGGCCAGATTTGGCACGTGGGCCTTGAGCACTAGGGCTATTGTTATTTATTCACTGCTTTCTTTGAAATCTGAGAATGTGTGACTTTCCCAAGATTTCACAATGGGTTTCAGTGGCTTAGTGGGGATTTGAACCCTGGGTTGTTGAAATCCTAGTACAACATGCAAACTACAACATCACACTGAATTTCTTTATTGAAAATGCCTGAGTACATTTGCTGGTCAAATAGAGCAGTGTTTCCTGTAAGAATGATCTGATCTTTCTGTGGAATCCCACTGAAATCTCTAATGCAACCGTCACTGGCAAAAAGCTGCTATAGAATCCTGCAGAAATCTTTACAAGATTTTGACAGTTTCAGCAAAGCAATGTGACAAGTTGCCAAGGTTAGATTAATAACTTTCTTTCTATCCTTTATTTGATTTCACACAATTCTGAAGCTCCTTCTGAATCTGAGGATGTTGAGTTTTGTATTTCTTGCCTTGATGAGTGTTCTGGAGGATCTCACTTGTGGAGTTCACAGTGTAGGAATCATTGATCTGTATTGATTTTTTAGTGGAAGAAGACATGCACAAGAAGTGTCAATTGGCAGTGACTTATTATTAATTATGCAAGGCCTTTTGAAATCACAAATATTTTAGTTATAAAACTACATGGAAGTATGTCTTCATACTAAATAAAGTATGGGAGCAATTTTTATTTTTCCCGACCTTTTCTAATTTAACATTATGTTATATTGGGCAAGTGTTTTTTTAAAAAAGCAGCCAAATATTGGAGCTAATACAATACTAGTGCATTTCTTATTGTACACACTTTTGTGGATATACAATAATTGCTTAAGGGGAAAAAGTACTAGATTTTTGGAAAAGCAAAATATGAAGAGCATAAGTAAGAATACCAATTATCTCCGGCTATAGTAATGATTAAAAAAAGTTTACTGAATTGTTCTTTCCCCTTTGGGGAAAAATGGATCAGTAATGGTGAAAAACAATGGTTTGCTAATGAACCCACCCAAATTTGGGAATGTTCTCTTGAATGTTTATTCATTGGACAGAATTGTAGGTGAATTAAACCCCCATCCCATATTTTCATCATTTGAATATATATGCCATCTTTCTTAGAGCTTCTGACGAGTTTGTAATAGTAATTCCCCAGTTTGTGAATAGTTCCTTTTTATAATGTTAAAAATGGTAAAATTATACTTGGGTTTTATTTCCAAATTAGATTAAGGCAACTTTTGAATTGCACAATATCCCAAGATGTTTGTAAGAAAGTCCATTTAGCATCCTATGGCTGACAAGTATTATCTTGACAGGGCTAAATATTGTATAAAGTTCACAAGGTTGTTTGTGGCTCATGGCAAAAAGTCTAAAGGCCAGGCTGTATCCATTCAAGGACTATCAACATGGATCAAATTGTATATTCAGATATGCTATGAACCAAGCTAGAGTTGCTGCTCTAGAGGGCTTGAAGACCATTTTGCAAGGCGAGTGACATATTTTATTGTTTGCTGATTGTCATGACCTTCCAAATATCTAAGTTGAGGGTTAGAACTGAGAGAAGGATGATACACAGATTTAAGATCAAGTCTAAATTAGAAACTCAGCTAGTAATAACACTATTTTGGAGATTATTTTCCTCCTCAATACTTCTTCAAAATTCTGAAAATTTAACAATTATATGAAATGAAAGCAAGTTTTACTCATTCCACATTGTAGCAAACTGGAGATACATGTATTCAGACAATCATGTTGGAAAACCTCTCCCTTGCTCCAGCCCTTCTGCTTTCTATGTCTGCATGAACTAAATTTCTGTCACTTTTGTGCAATATTTTCCTTTAGTTGTTCTCTAAACAAACAAGATTCTGCCGTATTTTGAACCAGCTGCAGTTTCTGAACTTGGTACTAAGATAGTCCAATGTAAGGTGCATTGCAGAAGTCCAACTTTTAGGTTACCAGTACATGCACTACTATAAGTTTGAAGTCTGGAAAAACATGTGTGTGGTACAGACAAGGTGAGGACAAATTACACTGAAAAACAAGTATTTTGTTTCCTTTACCATTTTTGGTGTATCAAATAGTTTTTTTGATGTTGTTCACATAAATAGCTTCAAAATTGCCATACCACATAAGGTTTTTGAGAAACGGCCAATTTTGTGTTACAAGTATTGTGAAATAATGGAACATTTTCTTTCTTGACAGTAATTTGCACGAATTTTTAGATTTCTTATATTTTGATCGCCATGACCAACATTATGTAACATGTAACAGAGACTCAGTCTGTTAAAATTCCACAAAAATACATTTCTGATCATGTAGAAACTTTCTCAGGCATGTCAGAGGCATGGACACTAGAGGATGAGGCGGTAGGCGATGATGGTGGTCGGATGCAGATGGAAGCTTTTGTCATCCAATATGAAAATCTCCCCACTATGAAGAAGATTTGACAAAATATTTTAGCCAAGCTGACAGCATGACCTTTTGTTGTGACATCAATGGATTGTTTTGTGTTCACAGATGTAACCACGACCCAACAAAATGGTGATTGTTTTTGGCCTCATCAATCATAAAATCATAGAATCATAGAATAATAGAGCTGGAAAGAGACCACATGGGCCATCCAGTCCAACCCCCTGCTATGCAGGAAAAGCACAATCAAAGTGCTCCTGACAGATTCATAAATTTGAAGTCAGTTTTGCTGTGCAACCGCAATATCTACCCTTCTACACGTGTCAAACATTCTGTTCATATGAAAGAATTAGATGAGAACATATAACCCTTCAATACTCAAAACACAACTGGAATTTGTGTGGTGATCTTAAGGTTGATGCAATTCTCCAGGGTCTGTAGCTTCGTTACAGAAAGTATTGCTGTTTCCTCTGCGAGTTGGATAGTCAAGCAAGAGATCTGCATTATTTCAGAAAAGACTGGCCTCTCCACAATTAATTGGTTTCAGGGCAGAAGAATGTTGTATATGACCCACTAGTTGATCCAAAGAAGATATTTCTTCCATCTTTACACATCAAACTTGGACTAATTAAAAATTGTGTTAAGGCAGTGAACAAGCAAAGAGAAGCCTTGATTTATTTGTGGTAGATGTTTCCCCGCATAAGTGATACAGTGTGACCTCTGTATCTGTGGGGGATATGTACCTGAACCTACCATAGAAACACGGGTGGAGATCATGCATGTCTCAAGTAGAGAGATGAAGGCAGCTGGCATGTTTCAGTTATCAGTAAGACTCATGCTGGAATCAGGGAACTTTATTTAAACAACTTTACAGGCAACTCCCAACAGTCTCCTTTCCTCTGCCTCAGTCTCTCTAGTGCAGTGGTTATCAACCTGTGGGCCCCCAGATGTTTTGGCCTTCAATTCCCAGAAATCATAACAGCTGGTAAACTGGTTGGGATTTCTGGGAGTTGTAGGTCAAAACACCTGGGACCAACAGGTGGAGAACAACCACACTACTGACAAGAGTGCATCCTTTATTTGATTTCTTCCCTCTTTGTTGCTATGTTTCTCTTCTTGCCTGCTGTCTTCACCTTTCTACTTAGTTCCCCATATATTGATACATTTCATGCTACATTTTATGAAAAATGCCCCCCCCCCCCCGGGTATTGTGCTCCCAATTGGTCCAAATATAGCATTTAAAGGGACTGCGATTGGGGCTACATGAGCCCAGTGGGTCGAACTGGGTCTAGGAATACATTACATCATAGCAATGCTTTGCAACATAGTTCCTCAGCTGATGAATTGCGGACCATGAATACTTTACATCATAGTACAAGTTGTTTTACGATAGCGGCATTTTCAGTGTTCCTTTTTGCTTACCGGGAGCCCCCGGTGGCGCAGTGGGTTAAAGCACTGAGCTGCTGAGCTTGTTGATCAAAAGGTCGCAGGTTCGATTCTGGGGAGCGGTGTGAGCTTCTGCTGTCAGCCCTAGCTTCTGCCAACCTAGCAGTTCGAAAACATGCAAATGTGAGTAGATCAGTAGGTACTGCTCTGGCGGGAAGGTAACGGCGCTCCATGCAGTCATGCCGGCCACATGACCTTGGAGGTGTCTATGGACAACGCTGGCTCTTCGGCTTAGAAATGGAGATGAGCACCACACCCCAGAGTCAGACATGACTGGACTTAATGTCAGGGGACTACCTTTACCTTTTACCTTTTGCTTACCTTTCGGAAAAAGAGAGATTGGCAGACTGAAGGTGATACTGTTATCTTTACTTGTGTTAAAAAAAGATGTATGAGTCTATGGCTTTATCCCTACATGGCAAGCTGAACCCTTTTGCACATGTATTAACAGTAAAGGAAGGCTTGCTCTATTTTGCATCTGCTTAACTTAGAGAGAGAAAGGGGAAAATAGACATTTATTGTAAATTATTCTTTGTGTCCCATATTGCAGCTGGAGATGTATAGCATTTTTCTCTGCTCAGAAATAAGTCCCACTGAGTTTAATAGAAAGTATTCCGAGATAAGTGTGAGCAGGATTGCAGTCTAAATGGACCTGAAAAGAACCAAAAGCTATTGCCTTAAATGAAGCATTGCAATTATACAACAGTGAAAAACCAAGGTGTTTTCTTTAGTAAGGCTCACTTTGAATATGAGAACATGATATCTTATATTTAGACTGTAGAATATTTTATTAGTAAATTTAATAGCTTGATCTTGCCTCTGTTCTTTATTGATTTACTTTAAAATTTAAATTACTTTAAAATTGGTGTCTGATTTTAGACCGTTAGGGGAGAAATTGATTTCAATTAATCAAGAACAGTTGTACACAGTTAACATTATAGCTAAACAAAGTGTTATGTACTTATATTAAATATAATAATTATATTTCATTTGTGAATATTGTAAACACAACAGAAAAATGCATCTACAGCTTTCCAGCCTAAATAGGATATATATAAATGAGATAGATATGAAAACATATAGATGATATTAAAACAAACTATTAATTCAACTTAAACATAATGCTCAATCAACATGCTATGGAAGGTTAGCACATAGATGGTAAGGATGTTAAATTTAAAATCTGCAAGAATTATACTGAGCTAGTAATCTTTTTTTTCTTTTTCATTCTCCATCACCAGACAAAGACATTTTCATTCTGACAGCCTTTTAAAGTAGAAAGTTTTAAAGAATGGGCTGAATTGTTTTAAATAATTTTATTCTAAAGCGTTTTAAAAAATCATTTAAAATCATCGGTGTTGTGTTTAATGTTTTTATATTGTTTTATACTATTTTGATTATATTGTTGATATTTATGCTTTTCTTATTGTGGGCGCTGTGCTGTGCTGGTTGTTAGCTGCCCTGAGTCCCTCTGCGGAGGTGAGATAGGACAGGATATAAATTCCCTAAATAAATAAATAAATAAATAAATTTTGGTACTTCAATATTTCTTAAAAGTTCTTTTCGTATGTTGTTGTTGTTGTTGTTGTGGTTGTTGTGTTCCCTTAAGTGGTTCTAAGGTATGATGACCCTAAGGTGAACCTGTCACAGTACTTTCTTGGCAGTCAGAGGAGTTTACCTTGCATCTGAGGCTGAGAGAATGTGATTCGCCCAAGCTCACTCATCTTTCCATGGCTGAGTGGGGATTAGGGCCTAGTTTCCAGAATCATAGTCAATGTTCAAGCCAGTACACCATAGAAAAATATATATTTTAATTTTATTGTTTTTTTAATTGTAAACTGGTTTGACTCCCAATTTTGGGAGAAAGGTGGTATATAAATATCACTACCAGCAGCATCCTATTTGGAAAAACTATGGTGCATTAATGTGCTCTTAGAAGAAGTACTTTACTGGTTGTTGAGACAAAATGCATTCTTGTTTTAACATTTACAATGCAAAATGCTTTCCATATAGACAATTGTAAAATGAGGAGAACTGGCTAAGACTCTCTGAGTTGTATCTAAGGGTTTGGGAAGGAGAACTGACCTTCAAAATCATCATCTGTAAGAGAAATAAGATTTCCAGAAATGTTTAATCCTGGGTGCCTTTAAGATGACTTTTGGCAATGATGTTATAGAGTTTCTTAGCAAAATTTCAGAGGTTTGCCATTGTCTTTCTATGAGGTTGAAAGGATATAACTTGTCTATTTTATTATTATTATTTTATATGCCATATTTATACCTCATCCTTCTCACTCTGAAGGGAACTCAGAGTGGCACACATATAAGGCACAATTCGATGTCACACAAACATACATCCAACAAAATAAACATATACATTAAAAAAGCAACTGCTAAAACATCTCAGACATTAAAACCAATTATTAAAATCACATAATCCAATATAATAGTCCTGGGTGTTCCAGTTGTTATTGCACCACTCCAGTTGCCATCACACCATTCCGTATTGACTTATTGCACTGAAAGTTTACTATCAAAAGCTTGGTCCCACATCCACGTTTTTAGTTTTTTTCTGAAGGTTAGGAGGAAGGGGGTTGACCTGATTTCACCAGGGAGGGAATTCCACAGCCAAGGGGCCACCACTGAGAAGGCCTTGTCTCTCGTCCTTACTAATCACACCTGCAAAGGAGGTAGGACTGAGGGAAAGGGCAGGAAGATTTGACTTTGTATTTTTTGGTTTATTTGTCTCAGAAATGATGAAATTTGATCATCCTCCCTTTGTATATAACTGTCCTTGCTATTGTGATTTATGTATAGGTAAACTTAAATGGATTTTGCCTGAAGAGTGAAGAAAAGCTTAAAAGTCAGGCTTTGTCATGATACCTAAATGCCACCCACTTCTCCCTAGGAAAGTAAGAAATAAATGTAGTTTGGAACTGTTCAAAAGTTTTCCACAGATGTCATCTACTCTTTGAATGTTAATTTATTATGATTTTAAAACAGTATATTCGGCTAATGATTTTTCTCTTCCTCTAGTGTTTATAGTGTTGTGAAATCTTGTTTGAAACGTTATAATGTAAAATAAGGCATTAAAAACAAGGCAACAAAAATTAAACATAATTTTGGTTGTGGGATTGTAATTATGATTTTCTCTTCTAGATGGAACAATGGACTATTAAATGTTGAAGATATTCTGGAAAGTTTTGACAACACAGGGAATGTTTGTAAGTAATTTTTCTCAATGATTATTGTGTTACTATAGTGTAAATCCTGACAATAAACCTTTGTCAGTAGACGCTCAGTTAACCAGAACTCAAGCAACTGGAAGGCTCAAGCAGTCGGCAAAAAATTGAAGAAATAACCTTTTAAATAATAATAAAAATAAAATCAAACCATTTGTTTTTATTTGTCTTTATTTGCTTTTAACTGTATTTTATTTGCTTTTTACTATATTTTAATATCAAGTCAATACAGAACTTATGGTATGGAATAGTATGGGGTATAATATTAGTTAGGCCTATTTTTAATAGTAACTCCCAAGCAACCAGAAGCTACATTTATCCGGCATCTACCAATCTGCATGAGTGTCAGTTAACTGCTAGTCTACTGTATTTAGGTACATTGACTGTCATGTCATGTGTTTGAATTGGTATGAGTCATGCTCCATTTGAATCATTTAACTTCTACCAATTGTGTATCCCTTATATGAAATGTTTGGGACTAAAACTATTTTTGATTTAGAATCCCCCCCTCCCCTGGGCAGATACATTTGCATATATGTAATGAGATATCTTGGAGATGGGACCAAAGTATTCATTTATATTTCATATACACATTATACCGATAGCCTGAAGGTAATTCTATAAACAATATTTTTAATAATTTTGTGCATGAAACAAAGTTTGTGTACACTGAAACATCAGAAAGCAAAGATGTCATTGCCTCAGCTATTAATGTGGACAATTTTGGATTTTGAAGCATTTCAGATTTTGGAATTCTGCCAGTAGAGACTTGGTAGCAAGATTCTTTATATTGTCTTAGTCATAGTAAAAAGCATTAATGGTTTCTTCTGAAAACACTAACGTGAAATCATTCTTCATATTTTTATTTTCGATGAACTTGAAGGTACAGTGAATGTGTAAATGTTGCAGGTATGTGATCTGGATTTTAAATGGTGTAAGCAAAATATGTCATGTGTCTAATTTATTATGTGACAGAAGGCTATCAGCATGATAGCATGTTTTTTTTTTTGTCGTGTCAGGAGTGACTCCTGGTGTGAGAGAATTGGCCGTCTGCAAGGACGTTGCCCAGGGGACGCCTGGATAATTTTGATGTTTTTATCATCCTTGTGGGAGGCTTCTCTCATGTCCCCGCATGAGGAGCTGGTGCTGATAGAGGGAGCTCATCCGCCTCTCCCCGGATTCGAACCTGCGACCTGTTGGTCTTCAGTCCTGCCGGCACAGGACTTTAACCCACTGCGCCACCGGGGGCTCCTATAGCATGGTTAGGAGTAGGGTGCCTTTTGGGTTCGCATAGTTTCAGAACTTGTTCAAGATAATGTTTACATGGTGACATTAGAAACAAAAATTCTGTATTAGTATGAAAAGCTGAAGTACTGTGTTGAAATAATACATCCAGATTCCATTGTTTCTCAGATTGCCTTGGATAAATTTGTTTCTGTTAAGTAATGGTTATTTTTATAGTTTTTCATAGAAAAGCAGGACAATTATTTTTCAAAAATTCTGTAGATCTGTCAGGCCAAAAAAGCTAGTATTTCCCTTCCATTAGAAGCAACATGAAACTGTTGTTAAATACTACTGATTCATATCTAAAAACAACTCTTTGTTTCTTATGAACCTGAAGTTACACTTCATTACACACTGACATTTCAGGAGCAGCAAAATGTCAGTTTCACAAACTAACTTTTGACCTCAAAATGCCAACAAGAACAACAGAATCTAAAGGATAGGTAATTGTGTAGGAAAAACACTCTGTACAATTCAGCCTCAACTTGGAAGCTTTCATCTTGTTAGAATGCCTCGGGCTTTATTATGAAGCTAGTCCAAAGAAAGCTTCGAAAATGTGTTCTTGAAGTACTGCCAGGTAGGAGAAATAATTCACAAATTTACAGGAGAAAGGAGTTCCATGAGATTTACTTGTTGCCAAGGGACTAATACCAAGATTGAGCAAAGAGAGTCTAAGGTAGGTAAGTAAGTGGGTGTAGGTGTGATTGCTGATGTCAGTGGAATATGTAACTGCAGAAAGTAAAACTGCAGAAATTAAAAGCACTGAGGATTAAAATGGCAAACCTTGTGATTACTGCAAATGTATTTTAATTCAAAAGGTTTTGCCAATTCCATTTCATTTGTGCAATGCTTTTATGCTGCTTTAGGATTTAAATGTTTTGCCAGAGGAGACCAAATGTTCTGCCCTCAGTCCCTATGAATGGGGCCTTGATGTGGAGAGGTTCTAAAATGGTGAGCAGGTGTGTGGGGGTGCACATGTGATACACTTTGGGCCTTGCTTACAAAGTTTATATCATGATAGAAGCAATAACATTAACTCAACAACAAAAAGTTGTTACTGATGGTGCTTAAATCTCTACTTGCCTCTTCTCAAGTAATTTTATTTATAAATATTCTCTTTCAAAATCAGTTATTTTAATGAGGCACATTGCATGTTTTATACATCTCATCTGAGCAGACCGGAGAACTTAACCAGCACCAGCTAGATATTAATTCAGAATAAGATGTTGCCACTAGCTGGCAGCATTATATTAAATATGAATAAACTTCTTTTACACAGTGTTTGTAACATTTACCAGCAGTTGTTTGGTGTATGTGAGTAAACCCATGAAAGGTTATTGGTGTATTGTTTTATTGCTTGTTGTTTAATATTGCTTTAACTGTTTTTAATTTGCTTAGGTTGTGTATTGTTTTGTTGTGTTCTGAGGCCTTAGCCTTTGTAAGCCGCATCGAGTCCTGCGGGAGATGCTAGCGGAGTACAAATAAAGTTAATAATAATATAATAATAATAATAAAATGATTGAATTTTGATCTCTAGTAGATGGAGAATTAATGAAAATGGGCTCTTTGGATATAAACTCTGAAAGTGATTGTTCTGAGATTTTTCCTCTTAGAAAAGTATATTGGAAAATGTATTGTTGAAAGCTTTCATGGATGGAATCACTGGATTGTTGTAGGTTTTTTGGGTTATATGGCCATGTTCTAGAAGCATTCTCTCCTGAATTTTTGCCTGCATCCTCTGAGGATGCCTACCATAGAAGCAGGCGAAATGTCAGGAGAGAATGCTTCTAGAGCATGGCCATATAGCCTGAAAAACCCACAACAACCCACTAAACCGGAAAAGGTAATTTATAGGGAGTACATAATTGTTTGTTTTGAAACAGAACCTGGGAGTTAAAATCTTTCCAGCTTCTTTGTAGCCGTATTTTTTAAATAATTGTTTTACTTTCATAATTTGTCTTTCTTGTAAAAAGCAGGGACATAGGATTTGTAGGCACACAGATGCATTGGATACATATACGTACACACTGTGTTGAAGTAGCTTATATATGTAAACTAAAAATGTTACATTAAGGTTGTTTATAGTAACATGAACAATTTCTAATCCGCTTTTGCTGCTGCTCCTCCTCCAACACCTGCGCAGCCCTCTTCTCCCTTCTACCAGTAGTAGTAACGTTACTATCACGCTGTATTACAACACTAAGAGATTGATTGCTATAGCCTGTATTGTAATGGTTTTAGGGCAGTTTTCTAAGACTGAATTGTTCATTCGTAAGTTACTTGAGAAATAGGGCTGTTTCATTAATATCAGTTATATGGACACCCTGATAGCTTAAGGTATAAATATTAAGAGTATATAACTGTCTGAAGCTCTCATGAGAAACTGGAGAGAATCTGCAACAGATGGATGCAAACAGGGATGACCAGTGTGGTATAGTGGTTTGAACGTTGGGCTACAATTCTGGAGCCTAGGGCTTGAATCCTTGCTCAACCATGAAAACGCACTGGGTGATCCTAGGTAGATCATATTCAGCCTCAGTGAAAGACTCTGAATTAATCTTGCCAAGAAAGCCCCATAATAAGTTTATTTACTGCATTTGTACCCTGCCCTTCTCACCCCAATGGCGACTCAGAGAGGCCTTACAATAGGCAACAATGTGATACCTTATCGATCAACAAATAATAAAATAAACATATACATTAAAAACATAACATTAAAAAACCATATATACATTAAAAGCACACAATCCATAATCGTAGTCAAGGCCATTCCAGTCATGATTGCACATATTCCCTCTTCTCTTATTGCCTTGCATTTCTACCCAAAGGCTTGGTCCCAGAGTCATGCCTTCAGTTTCTTTCTAAAGATCAGGAGGGAGGGGGCTGACCTGATTTCACTGGGGAGGAAGTTCCAGAACTGAGGGGCCACCACTGAGAGGACCCTGTCCCTCGTCCCCTACAACTGCACCTGCGAAGTAGCAAGGCCTCCCCAGATTATTTTAATCTCGGAGATGGTTCATAGGAGGAGATACATTTGGACAGATAAGCTGGGCCAGAAATGTTTAGGGCTTTATAGACTAAAGTCAGCACTTTGAATTGTGCCCAGTAGCAGACAGACATACAGTGGAGCTGACGTAACAGGGGGTTGTAAGTTCACCTTAGGGTCACCGTAAGTTGGGAATGACTTGAGGACACACAACAACAATAGTGTACATGTGTGTTTGTGAGAGGGAAAGAGAGAGAGAGGAAAACTCGAAGGAGAGAGAAAAAATTGACATCTTCTTTGGTATGCAACTATACTAAAGAAGTGACTTAAGAAATTGCAAGTCGCTTCTGGTGTGAGAGAATTGATTGTCTGCAGGGACCTTGCCCAGGGAATGCCCAGATGTTTTACTATCCTGTGGGAGGCTTCTCTCATGTCCTCGCATGGGAAACTAGAACTGACAGACTAAATGGTAGGATCCCAGCTTTCTACCATGTTAAATGCTTGGTGATTGTGGTGCATGAAGACTTGGTTTCTTCTAGCACTGTGCCTGTCAGTAATATGTGAAAGAATTGGTCATGGTAATCTTCATGCTTGACAAGTCCAGTTTAGTAGACCTGCCATCTATATATCCTTAACATTAGCCTGACAATTATGTTGCCCAGCTGCTTTCTCATTTTTTTTTAAAAAAAGCTTGGCTTCAGTGTTTAAACAG